TGAAAAGTACTTTAAAGACAAAATTAAATTATAAAATACTTTAAGATAATGTATGTACCTGGAAAAAATACTATGGAATGTTAAATGAATAATAACCCAATTTATTATGAAAAGAAATTAAAATAGAGTTCCAGCATAAAAATTAACTTTTAATATTGAGGATAAAAAGGAAGAGAAAGTTAAAATAGAAATTTCTTTTTCTCAAAAAAAAAAAAGGACAAACAAAGCTCCCATGTGTTAATGCTTCCGCGCCTTGCGAGTTTGATTTAAAAAGAAAGAATTACAATCGGATTCCAAAAAGAATTTAATTATTCTGAAGTTTATTGACAATTCAAAAATATGTAATGACAAGTCGTAGTAGAGTAGGGAATAATAATATGTTCATGCTGATCACTTACTTATTGGGATTTCTTAGTAACTAAATTTCTTCCTTGAGATTTCATCATAATTCTCCCTTTAAAAAATTGAAAAAATATGGTTATAAAATTTTGATGAAAATAAAATGTAAAATAAAATAGCAAAGAACAAAAAACCGGACCTGATACTGAATCGGCTGAGATAGTGATTCAAGGGTCAATTGGTTGGACCGGGGTCAACTCAGAGTCAAACAGATCATATTAAAATAATATAACTTAATTGAAAATAACAAAATATAACAACATTAATAATCACTAATGACAAAATACAAGAAAATATAACAATAATTTGATTGTAACAATGTCAAAGTACAAAAACATTGAGAATTTTGATCTCTATGATTCATCAATAATTAAAATTAAAAATTATTATACCAAAATCATCATAAGATCCATTTTTATCCTAAAAGTTGTCATCGAGAGGTTGTGAGTATCCGAAAGTTTTATTTGGAATAATGTTACCTCAAAAGTTACCAAAGCGCAGTAATGTCTAACTGTTATTCAAAGTTAACTTTGATAGTTAAAGCCATGTGATACTCCTGCATGGCACTCAATATGACAGCTTACCATCCAACTCATGCCTGAGTTCTGACTACCTCATCTTTCTTTTTCCTTTGACCATCTTCCTCCCCTGTTTTCGTTGAAGAACAAAGAAAGAAAACAAAATAAAAAATATTAGAAAAAATTGCAATTAGGCCCTATCCAAAAAAATTAAATACAAAAAATCTCTTAAAATCATGAAATTATTCTGAAGTCCCAATGGACCTTATTGCAATGAATTTTATTTGTTTAATTACCAAATTACTCTTCTTTTTTTAAGTTTACATTGATAACTGAAAGAGCAGTCGTTGAGAACTTAAAGTGTAATAATTGATAATTATTGCGGCAGATATTGACAACTCATACATTATATTTTGTGATATGTTAAGAAAATATATTGTCAATACGCATATTGAGGGACATATGGGAGTGCGCATGGCTTTAACGGTAAAAGTTAGCTTTTAATGACGCTGAGGGTGATATTGCTCCATTTTGGTAACTTTTAGAGTGATATTGCTTTAAATAAAATTTTCTGATACTCATAGTTCCTCAGTAACAATTTTCAGGATAAATTTTATAATAATTGAGATATTAGGAGCTAAATAAGAAAAACTAAGACTAATAACAATATAATTATTCAAACTAGTTCATTACTGATTCACATCAGTTTTTACCGATTGAACAACCAAACCGAACCATTGGCAAATTCACCAGTTTTTCAGTTAAATCGACTAGTTCAGTCCAATTGCTTTCTTGTAAAATAATAATAAAATTAATTAAAAACTTTCAATTTTACTTCTTTAATTTTTTAAATTGACCTTATTCAAATTATTCCACCCCTCTTTTTCTTTCGTATCAAAAACAGACCCTAAATAAAGAGGGTCGCATAAAGGTAGAGGAGGGGCAAATATTGGGAAGGCAAATGGAGAGAAACCGGTTCTGGGATAATTGTATTTGATTTTAAAAAAAAAATGAGGCGAGGAATCAATTTTTGTCTTTGGTGCTTCCTCTCCAAAATTGGGTCGCTTGGGAAGGAAAATAATTTTACAAGCTTGACTAAATTACTTATAATATTTGTTCAATATTTCAGTTTTGCCCTTCTGGCCAAGGTCTTTATTTTTTCTTATTCTCCACAGCCACTCTTCTTCCCCCAAGTCATCACAGTTCGCTCTTCATTTTTTTTGGCCATCCAGCCGCTCCTGCTCTATCGATATGTCTTTTTTTTTTTTTGGCCGGATAATCGATATATAGAGAGATATATGTATGCAAACACACATACACATTATATTAATATATTAGGTACTAATATATATTTTATAATTATAAAATTAACGAGATATGAGGTTAAAATTAGGTTAGCCTCACCCATGGCTAGGATAACCGTATCTTTATTTAACTTAAATCTCATTTATATATTAAATATATAAAATGCATCTACCACCATCGGAAGATGGATATAATATTGGAAGAATCCCAATTAAATCCAACCGAAATACCTAAATTCATATTTAGGCCTGTACTTTTAGCAAATTTCTAATCAGGCTATGAGACCTAATTAGGGATTTCTAAATGTTGTTAAATAACCAGAATGCCCTTCTTCAATTAAAAAGAAAATTTGATTAATATACCTCTCCCAAGTAATACCTCATCTCTTATGATTTTTTTTAGACCAAAAAACATATAAGTAATTTTACAATGTTTGAAATTTGTATATATAACTTACACTATTAAAAATATTTTAATAAAACATGTTAAATTACAAATATAAGTAAAATTATAAATATAAGTAAAGTTTAAATAAATTTTTTTAATTTTCAGTTTTTATAATTTACGTTAGTTTTATTTATTTAAACAATGTTGGATCCAACTGAAAACGTAAATGATTACAATTTAATATTAAATTTTTATTATAATTAAAATATTTTAAAATTTCAAAATAAATATTTACGACCTGAAAAAAATATTTATTTAAAGATTACTTATATTATAATTTGAAATGTTTTATGAAAATATTTTGAAGATTTTAGTTATATTACAAAATTTCAAACACTAAAAAATTATTTATATTTTTTTGCTAAATATTAATAATAAGAGATGATGAACCACTTTAGAGGGATAAATAATTAATTTTCATTTTTAACTAAAGAGGGGCATTATAGTTATTTAACAATATTCAGCAATTCTTAATTAGGTCTTATGTCCTGATTAAGAATTTGTTAAAAGTGTAGGCCTCAATTTAAATTTAAGTATTTCAGCAGGATTTAGTTAGGATTTTCCCTATAATATTTATACTATGAGAAAAATATCTGATTCAAAATTATGTATATCATATATACATTAATTTTCATAAATATTTTTAATAGGATTTTATCATTTTGTTTCATTTAAGATATGCCTTATTCCACATGAGATCTTCCGAAGAGATCATATTTCAGAATAAATCTTATAAAAATTCAGGATCCTAAATTAAACATTATATAAATATTATTTCACCATAAATAATGTTATATTCTTCTAATTCAAATTAGAACATCTTTTAGGTCTTTCTCATTTCAAAAATAAGAAACTTCTAAAAAATCAATGAGGACGTTTTATATTCATTGAATTTGAACACTTTCTATATTCAACGAATTTTTGGATCTGAGGCGCCATCGGATGTGCTTCAATTTTTCGTAAACGGGCAATACAAGTTTTTGGGTAAAAACTGAAATTATTATGATAAGTAGGCTGAAAAAATAGATCATTCACCTCTATTCAATGAGAAACAAAGATGTTAAATTATATTGGGTTGAAATCGCCACTGCTTAGTTTGTAATTCTAACCATCGTTTAGTTTTCAAATAATTACTTTTGCCGAGTACAATGCTATTATGTATTACTTCCCATCCTTAATATAAGAATTAGTGTACTAATTTGAGTAGATTAAAAAAATTTGTTAAGTTAGTTATTTGTAATAAATAGGTGTTGTCTTTTCTAAAATATCTTTACTAATCAAGTGTATTGATTAGAACTATCATTATTGGAAAGACTGTATTAAAATATACTCCTCCGGTCCTTAATATAAGACCCATTTAACTAATTTGATTAGATTAAGGAAGTTAGGTAAGTTAGTTAATTATAAGAAAAGTGACACATTTTTCCTAAAACACCATAATCATCTTTCTTAATACCTCCTCTCACTTTTCTACTTGATTATGGTTGAGGGAGTATCCATAAGGGTAATTTAGAGAAAATTGATAAATATGAGAATGGGTCTTATATTTAGGACCAAAACCAATTCAAGAATTGGTCCTATATTAAGAACCGGAGGAGTATATATATAAATACGAGAGACAAAATATATTGAATTTTTATATTTAGAATCAAAATAAAAGTCAAATGGGTTCTTATGTTAAGCACCAGAATTGGTATTATAAATTGCAATTGCCGTATTAATTTTGGGAAGGTTAATATGATGCACGGATAGCACATGATAGTTCTCAAAATAAATGGCCGCAATACGCACATTATTCAGTAGAAAGAATTTAAGGTTATTTGCTGGCAAAAATGAATAAAAACTTTAAATTTAGATTATTCAAATTTAATTAACTCGATTCAACTACTCATATTTTCTAAAAAAATTACCTATTTTATTAAAGTAACATTTCAAGAATTTTTTTTGAGAAATTTAATTTAATTTTTTAAAAATAAATATACTTATTTTGGTATCAATGACATAACTATCTTGTTTGATTTAGGTGGTTTAATTATAAAATGTATTTTCAAAAATTAATATGGACTGCTTCATGAGTATGGAAGTGTAGTTCTCAACTTTTGCAAAAATTATTGGACCATGATAAGTGGTGTTTTCTTTATTCATATTATTATTCATATAACCACACGAGTTTCAATCACCAACAGCAACAGGAAGTTTGAATTATACAACAGCAGATATGAATTATTCTTCTGAGAAGAAGTGGCCCAACATGCAAATGAGCATCCAGTACATATCCTTGAAGCAAATTTTATTTATTTATTTATTTTCTAGTAAACTCGAAGCAAATTTTGGCCTTGGCTTTTTTCAATCAATTTACTCCAATATTTTTTCAGCAATGGGAAAGGAGGGGGCTATGTCAACAGGCACCTGCAAAATCCACAAGAGAGGCTATTAGAGGAACTGTTGTAATCTACAAGTCATAAGCAGCATATATATATATATATATATATATATTTTTTTTTTTAATAATTTACTATTTAATTTATAAACCTGGTGAACAATTGGCATAAGAAAAACTCAAGAAAAAAAATTCCCCCTGGTCTTAAATATAGAAATTAGTTCAGAAGGTTGTTTTTACTTTAAAGACAAAGTCTCAGTCTATTTTTTCTTTCCTGAATTATAATTTTTTTCCGATACTATCATTATTATTACATGTATTGAAAAGAGACCTATATTAATAGAGTAGTTTCTATTTTCTAATAAAATAATTAAATAGGAATTTTAGAAAACCAACACATATTTTTTTTTTTTGACAAACAGCTAGCTTTAACTAATAACAAATTCTTATATTTACCTGGACATGCTCCAACTTGTCCAGAGCAAGTTTGAGTGGTTCTGAGATGATGCCATATTTCTGGAGAAGCAAGCCTGCAGCCTCTTTGTCACCTTTGGCTTGTATGGTCAGTATCTCTCTGCTCAGACTTTCAACTGCATCTTCAACCTTTGAAACAAGAACAACATCATTGTTCATTATTTTATGGGTCAGACAAATTACGGAGAATTTGAGCCACTCATATATATACCTTAGAATAATCAACTGAAAATGTTCCATCAGCATGCCAGATAAATGCCCCTCTCTCATATAGCCAATTGAACTGCAATGCCTGTCCTTTTCTGACAAACACAAAAATCAAGTGTAATGGCACTGTGATTCTCTGCTAGAAGATAATAATGCATGAGAAATGCAAAAAGTTCGCATATAACTTGCTTACCCATGAGCTTCCTCTAAGCCAAAACGCACTGAGCGGAAGCATCCAGCCAGAAAAGAAACATACATGGACTTCAATAAGGTCTCAGAAAGCAAGCCCTGGTACACGCCATGAATTAGCATTAGTTTGAAATCCAGGACAAATTTCTCTGTGAAGAAAATTTATAGATTGATATCACTCTGTTAGCGAATTCTAGTTGAAGTGATTATTATTAAAAGGGAATTGTATAGAAGATATTGGCACATGGATTCTGTGGCAATTATAATTAACAACTGACCTTGTGGATTAGGAACCTCAGTGCCCACAGACCAACTATATCAGCTTTTGCTTCTTCCATAGCAGAGTGAAATTCTTGCAATTCCTGCATCAGAAGGGAAGAAAATTTAAGTCAAAACTGAATGAAATGTTGCACAGAATTGTAACTTTCTTTATTAATATACTTCAATTATTGAAAAATTATTAGTGATTTTCGAACTTCTATTTCCTCTGTCTCCCCTCTAATCTTGCTGATGAAATGTGAAAACTTGCTGCATAAGTAAACTTATCACATCCTATCATACTGTTTTTGATAGTTTCTTTCCAGTAAAAGCCACCATTAAGTTCACTGTTGAACAAAAAATTGATAGGGGTGGGTGTCGTGTATGTTAGGCGAGAACTATCCATCCTGTGTTTCTATCTCTATCTTTACAATATCATGTTGCTGAAACAGAGAAAATCCAGATCCATTTTATGAAGTATAAACATCTACTAATTGCACGATTAGCATAAGCATTAAGCTTAAAGCCTTAAGCGACGGAATTTTCTGCAGTAGTACTCAAAATTGACATAATGCCCTCGAATAATATGAATGATGCAACTGACCAATCTCACTGTAGACTTCTGACCATTTGGAAGTGTTATGGAATGAGGTCCAATCCCATGGCAGCATTCATGGCAAATTGTATGGGTAAAGAATGATTCAAAATCCACAAGTTCTTGTTGTTCCTTTGCAACACATACTTTAGCAATGGGCAGAAGAATATGCTTAAACCTGATTATAACGAGCAGCAAGTTAAGAGATTCATTTATATTTGTTCTTCGAACAGAATAAGCATTCAAAGTAAGAGTTTTTACTTAGCCTCTTGAACATTCTTAAGCATGACCATTGATGTTCCTCTATCTTTTACTATCCGCTCATCATTTGGTAGATTGTAAGCAACAATCTGTGGTCCCTTGACATCCTGACACAGAATTCACCAATAAGAAGTCCCAATTTAATAGCCTTATTGAGTTATAGAGAGAATGATATGTGAGAATATTCTAATAATATCTTTACAAACCTCTAACGTAATATATTAAGAAACTTAATAACTCAGAAACCTTTGTTAATTAGCACCATGAGAAAATGATGGATATTATTATATTATTCTTGTTAATGACTTACCCCAGCATTATATATAAGCTGGATGATACGGATAGGTGCAGCATTTACATTTTCGGATTTGTATACATTGTCCAGTGGGAGATTTTGCTCCAAAACCTTCAGCAGAAGAATTTTTAACATGTTAAAAAGCTCATAACTTTAAGGGGGGAAACATAAAATGAAGTCTTATCTGATAAGAAATGTTTGTGGCACAGTACTTGCAAATTATCACCAAAGAGTTTTAGTTGAGCTGAAGCTTTCTCATCCCGGACTCCAATAAATGCTTCAAAAGTAGCCTTCAAAAAGTCATAGGTTAGAAGATACTCATTTTTAGATTTGGCTTTAGACATTGAAGCATAGCAAGCTGTGAGGATTCCTGGCACTTCATTAATAAAAAATAATCTCAGGTGGAGCATTAGGGATAATAATATATGATATAAGGGCATCTTAATCAAATACAGTTACATTTTGTTATAACGTAGACTATTCAATAGCTTTCTTTATTTATGTGTAAAACTCTGAAGTGACAATAATTTTGAATCCTTTATATAGCTATGCGACCAGGCTTTGAAACTTCGTCTATCTGTCACAATACCTCAATCATACTCTAAGGTTTACCTTATATCCAAAAAGTTTATCTGTATAAGTCTCATATGGCCCAATAGTAATATCCAACTTCGAGTCCTGTGCCAGCAAAGGGGGGAAAAAATGGTTCAACAATTCTATTATCTTGAAAATTTCACAGAAGTAAATCACATAGCAGTAAAAAACCGTAAAGAACTTAATTGTGTATAAGTTATTGAAATACTGTGAAGCTTTTTAATTTCTAGTTGTTCCCTCAAGTGAAATGGGTATTCTTATCAGAGTCATAATTAAAACAATGACAAGTAGGGAAGACACAGGAAACAAATTGAAACAAAAAAGAAAAAAGAAGGAAAGGAAAGGAAAGGAAAGGAAAGGAAAGCATAATTAAAACTTGAAGTTAGATTAAAGAAAATGACTAACCAACTCCATCCAGGCTAGATCAGAGTCATAATAATCATTTGAAAGGAAAGCGTCAGCCTTGCTATGTAGAAATCTCTTCAAACTACATTTGAAAAGAAAAGAGTTAGGCAGCAATATTTTTATGTGAAACAATATTCTGCATAAGAATACCTAATGACAGACGAATAATGAGAATTAGATTTAAGCACACCTTGGTGAACTGGTAAGATCCCCAGCTTTATGTAATAATTCTGCTGCTTTGGCGAGAAGAGATTTGTACTCTTGAGAATAAGGGACTACATAAAGATCACTGGTAGCACCCATTTTGTTATCTGATATATCAGAATCCAAATAAAACTCACTGTGCCTTTTGATAACAGTGAAAAATCCTGTTGCTTCTTTCTGTTGTTCCTGTTCTACGCTGTTCTTCCATGCTTCAAATTCCTACAAGACATATCCTTATTGTTTTCCATGTTCAATATAATTTTTGTTATTAGTTTATGAATGAGTCCTCTAGATTGAATTTCTTGTGGCCACTAGTCTTAAGGATTTTTTTTTTTTTGGACTCAACTAGTCTTAAGGATTTAATATAATGTCTTTTACTCTTTTAGCATGGTATACAAGTTTGGGATGGCTTTTCAGATTCCCCCAAACTAACTTATTTGGTCCAAAAATCTAGTTCAGAACCAAACTATAGGTGTGTTTGGGATCACGGTGGTGACTCCCAAACTGACTTTCCACTGCAAAAAGCTAAAAAATATAACTTCAAGCTTAAAATACATGTTTGGATAGGTATTAGGAATAAATGGGTTTATGCTCTAAAAGTAACTTTTTTTCAAAGTTCCATTTTGTTGCTTTTGCCTTCTCCACCAAAAGTCAGCCAAAAAAGTAGGGTCCACATGAGATAAGTGAGCAAATGCTTTTACTTTTTTGTTAGAGAGAGAATGCTGAGTTCTTTTATTTTTCTCTAGCCTTGAGTCCATTTTTAAGAGTAATGAAATCATTTTTTTTTTGTTGAATAATGAAATCAGTTTTTTGGTTGAATAATGAAATCATTTTAAAAAATAAATCTATTATTCTTTATTATTCATTATCATTTTATAAAATTTAAGGAAAATTGAGAAAAAATTTCTATTAAAATTTAATTGGTAAGAAGTATTTGATAAATTTTCATATACTGAGTGCAAATTTTATACATATAAAGTACCTGTATTCTGATTTAGATCCTTATTACCAATTATATTTTCAATAGGAGGACCTATTGCCCAATTTTTCCTAAAATTTAAATATATTATTTTAATTTTAATTATTCTCAATAGTAACTATTTTTATTTTTTTATAATTATAATTTTAATTGTTCTCTAAAAAGTATCACACAAACATATGATATAAATATGTATTATTTAATAAAGTTCATGCCTTTTTTAATTATTTTACATCTAAACTTACTTTTTTTATTAACCATTCAAACAAATTTCAACTTGTTAAACTGAGTTTTGCTCCAAAAAATCAATTGAAGTGATGAGTGTTAACATTTGATGCTTGCAAATCAAATTGTTTGTGCAGCATATTTATTGGTATTACTATTAGATATTAGGAGTGGTACCGTCTTGTCCATGTCTGGAGGGTAAAAATTTGCACCAGCTGGCTTCACAACAGGAAACGCTGCTCTGTATTCCAAGCCCTTCCACCCTTTAACTGCCCCTGTTGCCCTTGGAAGCAACTTTATTGCTGAATCTGCTGTTGTCAAAAATGCCTTGTCTTCATCAAGGCTTGACCTATATCAACAGAGATTAATTTATAGTTAAAAGACTAAACCGTCCCTCATTCTTAAATTAAGACGTAATCCAAAGAAGAGCACTTTTGACTTTTTCACTTCGATTCCTTAGTGTACACATTAGCTTTCCAACTAAGCATTGAAAACAACTTTTCCTTTCTCATAGTAAGTAGTAACTTTTCCTCATATCAAATAGGGCCTAAATTAATCCATATCTATCTATATGGGTGTAAAAAGATTATTTACCATCTATTACCTCCGGTTTTAATTATAAAATCTTGTTTATAGTATACAAACGATGTCTTGTAATTAAAATCGGGGGTAATAATAATAGAATAAACTGCCATGACTTACCATGGGGTCTTGTTAATCTGATAATAGGACCATTTCAGCTTATCTAACTCTGATCTATCAGAATGCTTCTTCAACCAATCTCTTAGAATTGGATTACTGTGCCAAGCCTGGTTTACACAAATGCACAACTTTTAGTAATTAATGGAGTTAGAACAATCTTTAAGGGTAGTTAGTTAAGGGAGTTAGAGACTACGTTAGATCGTTATATTAGTTAAGCTAACTGATTTATTATGTATACAAACACATTCATCTATGGCATATAACATAGTATTTCCTGAATTCACAATCTAACTTTATAATGCATAAAAAGTTGCTTTGGTCTTTACTATAAAAACTTCCTACAGATATACTCCTTCGGTCCTTAATATAGGACCCAATTGGTGAGTTAGTTTTGGTCCTAAATATAAGACCCATTTCTCATATTTATCAATTTTCTCTAAAATACCCTTATGGATACTCCTTCAACCATAATCAAGTAGAAGAGGAAAATGAGGTATTAAAAAAGATGATTATGGTATTTTAGGAAAAACGTGTCACATTTCTTATAATTAACTAATTTACCTAACTTCCTTAATCTAATCAAATTAGTTAAATGGGTCTTATATTAAGGACCGGAGGAGTACCTTAAATGCCAAGTATAAGATCCACTTTATAATGCAAATTCTATGATATAACATTTTGTTTGGAGTATTAATATATTTTTTTTTACCTAATGTCAATAACAAACTATAAAACTTCTTAACAGACCAACCAAATCCCTCTAATTAACAATTTTTATTGAGAGTAATTTTGATAGAGTATTTTACAAAAATAACTAATTTTAACTAACTTTATTAACTGATATAAAGTGGCTAATTTGTACTTATATATGCACAGAAACTGAGCATCATGAATATGCTATTACAAATTTTATATAATGTTATTATGGAATGTTTAAACAACCTGGAGATAAAAGACTTCATTCATAATAGCTGCAGCCTTGACAATAAAAACCAGAGCCTCTCTGTCTGATTCAGTAAGCCCTGATAACTACAAGACATAAAAATGAAACATAATTAATTCCTGATTTTTGTAGGAATTCCCGATTTCAAATTTAGTAATGTAAGAATTCCTAATTTAGAATTTAATAATTTTCAAGTTCTTTTTATGGCATTTTTCCTGTCTAAGATAATAATTAAAAGGAAAAAAAAGGTTCAACAACCTCAGCATTGAGGGAAATAGGAGCATAGCGTTTTAGTTGTTTTTGTAGAGTCAAACTGCGAGCCACAGTATTCTCCCTGTACCTTCATCACCATATTCACAACATCAATGTTAAGAAAACATAAGAATTAAGAATAAACTTATGAACCAGAAAACAAAAGGCAACGTTTGAAGAGAGATATAACATTATATACCTCGTTTCAAAAGTATTAAAAAGTTGACCGTACTGTCCCTCAACATCATAAGGCACATAATCTGAATCTTTCTTGGTCAGTAGCTTTTTGTACTGTTCGAAACACATATATTTGACCCCTGAAACTTCTGTTTTCTGCCATTTCAATAAATAAAAATACAAAAATCCCTTGCATCAGATCTTGCAAGACCTTGTTTTAGTTGGATTCTCAGGAATTCCAATTCTCCCATAATCTTGATTCCATTCCCACTTTTTTGCTGTAAGAATCCTGATTCTATGGAAATCCTGATTCTCTCCAAAGATATGATTCATTCTGATTGCCACTTGCTGGAATCACACCATTTAATTTCCACTAATACCCCTCTTCTAAGGAACTGTAATGGGAAGTTTCTTTTCTTGAGCACATTTTGGTCTTTTTGATTTTATTTAATCAATATCAAATATATAAAATTTAATTTTATTTCTATCATTCTTCTTTGTATCATTAAAAAAAAATTGTGGTTTCATTTCCTCCCACTCTACTCCATTCCATTCTCATTCTTTTTGTGCCTTAAAAATATATATGCTTACATTCTGATATGTCTATTTTCATACTCCCTCCCGTTCTTTTTTATCATATACACACAGCTAAGCTATGTAGATTAAAAAAAAGTTAGTTAAAATTTGTTAAAGCAGTAAACATATTAAAGAAAATGCGACTAATTTTTCAAAAACATCTAGGGGGTAAGTGCGAGAGAGGGAGAATTAGCAAACAAAAAATTAATACAGAAAATAATTAATGGGAATATGATAAAACTAAAAAGGGATACTAAAAATTTTAAATAAGTTATTAGTGTCTCTTATAAAACATTTCATTTCTAAAAAACAACTTTTGCGTATGGAATAGAAGGGGAATAATATAAAAAGCATATTACCTGAAGAGTAAATGCCTCCAAAGGTATTGGATCAATCGTTGTGACAAGATATACATCATTTATGACACTGAAACTCGAATTAAACTAAGTATCATTAGGGCAATTCCAAATCATTTGTAGTTTAGTTTAGAGGAAAATATTAATGGGAAAAATAGTCAATACACAAGTGCTCCTATAAATAGATAAAGAAGGAAGTGTTTTAAATTACTGACCCATCTTGACGGAAAACAAATAGTAGTTCGAATGCATCATTTGGAAGGGTTACGCCTAACTTCTCTTTGACCTCCTTCCTGAAAAAATTAAAATCATCATCATAAAAAAGACAAACTAATTAGATCATTATTAAGCAAAATGTATACTAATTAGATCATCAATTAAATAATGTGGAAAAAATAATACTCTTTCATTCCTCAACGTAAGAAATACTTAATTAATTTGAATAAATTAAAAACCTAAATAAATTATTTAATTATAGTAAATGTAACATGGTCTTTCTAGAATATTCATATATAATATTAGATCATGCTCCTCTGGTCCTATTTATAGGACAGAGAGAAAATATATTTTTTGATCCTATTTATAAGACACTAAGAGAAATTTTTTGTATAGATGTACAAATTTACCCTTCATTTATTATTATGTTGACTTTGTTTGCATGAGGTATAATGTATATTAAATAGGGATAAAGTTAAAAAATCATAAAATTTTAAATAAAATTTAATAAAATTTAATTTTTTTAGTCTGTTTGAATATGTTCAAAGGAGTATATTACTACCCCAAATCTTTACTATAAAAGTTTGATAACTAATTTAGGGATCTTAAAAAAATTAGTTAAATTAATTATTTATTATAAATGATGCAAATCTTATTAAAATATTCTTATTAATTATGTAAATTAAAACTATTTTTTTGATAATAAAATCTCTTAACATATGTAATCAATAAAAATATTTTGAGAAGAAAATTATAAATTTAGAAAATAAAATAAACTGAGATTTTATATTTAAGACCAAAATAAATATATTATGTAGCTCTTATGCTAGATAGATTAGTTTAAAATGATAACAAATATAACAGATAAAATAAATTAAAAAACTAAAATTATTTTTTCAACTAGCTTCTACGTTTAAAATCAGAAAAATATGATAGAAGAAAGATAGAGGCATCGATCTAGAATTGCGGACCGAGCGGTGAAGAGGGAGGAAGAAGAAGCAGAAAGGGTGGCAGAAGCGGGGAGATCCCACAAGCCAACACGACGTCGTTGCAGGAGCACTTGCTTTTGGCTCTCTGCAAAAATCCACACATGAACTCCTCGGCAGTCGGCCATTGCTTATCTCTCTCTTCTCGTCCTTAGTGAGTGTGCCACTCCCACCTTCCACGCATCGCCTTATAACGTGCTACTGATTCTATTTATAAGGCAAAAAAGTTTTTGTTAATAAAATTTATAAGTTATTTTATTGAACTTTTAATATAACTATACTTCTCTGGTTTTATTTACAGGATCAATTTTTTTGGTAACAGGATAGAGAGAAAAATTTTTGATATGAATATATAATTTTATCCTTTATTTAATATTATGTTGACTTTGTTCTAATAAAGTATAATGTATATAAAATAAGAATAAAGTTAGAAAGTTATTAAATTTTAAATAAAAGTTAATAAAGTTGAAGATTTTTCTTAGCTTATATGAAATATGTTAGAGGCGACTTATCAATAAGACCAAAGGAATACTATTTTGTCATCTATTTATTTATTACATAAGTCCAGAAGAGTGGTTTTTTTTTGAAAAAAATATATATATTAAATAGGGATAAAGTTAAAAAATTGTTATATTTAATAAAGAGTTAATATAGTTTAAAATTTTTCTTAACATATGTAAAATATACTGAAAATATCTTATTACCATGTAAGACTAGTATGTTTATTAACAGTTAAAACTGTGCAAAGCACTCTTTTTAATATATATATATATATATATATTTTCCCTTTTAGATGAAATTTTCTGAATAAAGAGTAACTAAGAATTTTAGTTGCAAACTGTGATGAAAATTAAATTTAAAATTTAAATATCTTCTTTACAATTGATAGTTCTAAATTTTTGATTTTCTGAATGGCTATTTGCAACTTATGTTCTTCAAAATTTTATTGAAAATCATTAGATTGATATAATTGTTATTTTTTTGTTTTTGTTTTTTCTTTTTTAATGGAGAAAAGAGCCGGAGCTCCGAGCTAAGAGGTTCACTCTCCAGAGGATTTATTGCACAGTAGTAGAACCGTCAACAACAACATCATCATCACCATCTATATCAATAAATCAGTTTATTCATGGAATGTATATGAAAAAAGTGGCTTGTTAGTATGTATAGTGGTGCGATGATAATGGTAATGACGTCATAAATATTTATTATTCTTTTTTTACCGGATATTTATTTATTATTCTAATATGTACTCCTATAATCTTATTTAAAAGATACAGAGATAGGGTATTTTTTATATTTAATATAAATCATCTCATTCAATTTATTATTATGTAAACTGTGATTTTTTCTTTAATATATATACACTACCTCCGATCCTTAATATAGTACTTCGTTTGATTTTTATTTTGACCCTCAATATAAAACTCCAATCCATTTTATCTCTTAATTTATATATTTTTTTTCAGAATAGTCCTTCTAATAATGGTAATTCTAGCCAATACACTTGAATAGCAAGGATATTTAAAAAAAAAAAACAACATCTATTTAGTACAAATAACTAACTTAACTTATTTTTTTAATTTACTTAAATTAGTCAACTGATTCTTCTATTTATGATTGGAGGTAGTATTAAGCAGAAAAAAGTGAACCACATTTTATATATTTTATGTTTCCATTGGGATCTTTCGGTTCCTCCGCAAGGATTTGGCAAAAAAGGAAGAAGCCACGTAATTAATTAAGCCCATCCACTTCATTTATTGGATATCAATGCCATAAGGTCCATATACATCTAATTATCTGTTTGTGTTATTGAAGACGCGTGCACTAAGCATGCTTCCATTGAAATGGATGCCCATAATCAATTATTGTCAATATCAATATAAAATATAATATAAATATATGATGATTTAAGTCCGAATTATGACTCATTTCTTTATAAAAATAAAATGAAAAAGGTATCATATATCTCACAACTCTAATATAATAAGAGAAGTCCTGACAAGAAATATTGTAGTGAGTGATAACTTGTCACCTGATATTTTTATCATATATTGCTCCTTCTAAGCTCAGCCTATTATAAAAATGCAAATATCATGACAAATATTTCCTTCAGTCTTTTTATGAGATCTGTTTAGCTAAATTATGCAATTTAAAAATGTTTAAAACTAATTAAAGATAATATAAGCATGCTAAAAATTGAATTATTTTTCTAAGTATGTCTTAATTTAATAAAAAATTAAATAAGATAGAAAAATACTAATAATGATATAAAGAACAAAAAAAAATGTAATGTGAAAAAAAAGATGAGGAGGGAGAATAAAAGTTAATTAGAATTTTGAAATTTTATAAAAAGTACCATGGGGGACCACATCATAACAGCAGTACTGCAGTACGTATAATTCCATTTCGAGTCCAAGTACAATAAAAAATTCCAATTCAAATCATATAAGCATGCTAAAAAAAGCTATCTGATACAGAAATACTTTCTCCCATTTTTATTATAAATTTTAAATAACTAATTTACATATAATAAATAATTATTTAAAAATAATAAATATATAATAATTAAATATATTTTTATTTTTAAATATGTCACTATACTAAATAAAAAATACAAAAACAAATGTAACGAGAAAGAATGTGATAAAAGAAAAAGAATTGATTTGCTAAAAAAAAGAAAAAATAAATAATTGAAAATGGAATTAAAAAATGTATTAAATATTAAGAATAAATTCAAATTAAAACTTATAAAATAAACTATGCCTATCTTCAAAATCGATATTAATTTGTTATTATGGGCATCCACTCCGGTTGAATGCCTCGGTGGATGTGCCTTCCAGTGAAACAAACAGATAACTGATGGATAAGTAGATATGGACCTCACTAAATGAAGTGGCTGGGCCTAATTATGTGCCTTGTCTCTTTTCCGCCAATCATTGGGGAGGAAAGACCCCTCTTGGAGCCGCCATCTTCCCTGCAAAGACAAGAGGTGGTTGGCAAAAAAAGGGAGAAGGACCAAAAAAATTCTGAAATCTCAGTTCAGACTTTAAGTACTGAAATGAAAATAGGATTTTTGGCCAAAAAAAAAGAACATAGGATTAATATAAAATGACAAAAATACCATTTACCTGTAATAAAAAGTAAATTAAAAAAAAAAAGGAACTTGAGGCCAGACGAGAGTGATTGCTGCGCGGGGAAGGACTATTTTTACTCCTTTACAAGCAAGGAAGGAGCATCTCATGGACCCAAAAACTGGGAATATGCTACCTTATAAAACTCAATTAGCTTATTTAGAAAGATTAAAAAAGTTAATAAATTACCTTAAAGTTCTTATATTTATTATTTTTTTAAAATTAATTATAAATTGATATATAATCTAATAATACACATAATTATTTTAGAGAGTACTACGATTAAGTAATTTGGTAAGACAGAAGATTAAGAAAGTTACTAAATTATTTACTTATTATTTTGTATTCAAAATTATTAAATGGGAGGAAAATGAAAAATCATCAAAGACATTCCTTAAATATCGTTTATAAATAGAAACAAGTTGAAGGTTGATAATTCATAATTGTTCTTTTACCATGGAGTACCAATTAGTACTATGAATTTTGCATATGATGCTAAATTTAAAAGTGTTGCACTTGTCATGATTTATGAAACTCCAGCTTATCATAGTTGTTAATTATATAATATGCTCTCTCCATTCCACAGCACAAGTCACTTTAACTCACTTATCAAAATCAAGAAAATCAACGTACCAAAAAAAATCAAGAAAATCAAGAAATGGTAGATAACTCCTGTCTTAAATTGAAACTTTTTTCAACTTTAAATGAGATTGTAAAGGAGAATGAAGAATACAATAAGTCATATTTAAGCATTAATTATAGGAATAAAAATGACAAACAAGATTAATTGTTCTCCAAGTGACTTATATTTTGAATTAATAAATTTTGATAAAATGACTTATATTATGAATAAGAAGGAGTACATATTGTGTTGATACAAAATAGAAGTTATTTCTAACTAATTCACACTTATTCATGAAATAGTTCAAAGCATCAGATTTGTTGCTGGCAAAAAAAAAAAAAGCATCAGATTTGTTATAAAATTCAAGTAATGTTCAATAATATCCTTATTAATTACAATGCATTTCAAGGTATATTAATTTCTACTTTCTCTTACTATTTTCATTAAATATAGATGTGTGTGTGTGTAGATATATGAAAATGAATATTTAATACTGTCTTGACTACTACGGCCTTAGCCGTGGAACATTTCCTTATATTTTTCCTACCATTTCATATTTTGTTCTAAAATTTCTGAACCCCAGGTATTATAACCTTAAATACAATAATTAAGCTATTCTAAAACACCATTTATTTTGTAAAAAAAAACATATCCTTGCATCCTCAAGACCCAACCTATCGTGATTAATCATTAATTTCCTCAATTTTCAACACAAACCATTACTCAGCTAGCACTAATTCTCAGAACTAAAAATCAGGATCTTACAAAGAATACCCCCTAAAAGATGCACTGCATATAGAATCGGAGGAACTATGTGTGTTTGTATTTTTCTTAAAATCGTAATGCATGAAATAAATGATTAGGTTTTTCGTTGATTTCTTATTGGGAAGGCTTTATTTTTGCAGACCTTTGATATGTTCCTTGTACCTCTCATTGTTTATTTTGGGCTAATATATATGTTTGGTTCTTTAATTTGCAACAAATTTCAGTTTAGTTTTTTAAATTTAAAAAATATATTTTTAGTCCTTTAAACTTTAACATTGTTAACCTCATTAACCGAAAATGGACTCAACAATTTTAAAATAATAACTTAGTATTTAAATCTTAAGATAACGATTTTGAATTTAAAATATGAAAATAAAAAAAATAATTTAAAAGAAGAGGTGGCGGACAAAGGACCCAATCCGAAGCGCACACACTTTAAGAGCAGCCTTGACGATAAGCCAATTAGCGATGAGTTGGCCTCTGTTCTCTAGAAATCCATAACACAAAATGATTTCGAATGAGTTTTCTTGCAACGACAAATATTTTCTATCAAACTGTCAAATTAAACCTCCAATCTCATAGGCAGAAATTTATTCGAATCATTATTGAAGTGAAACATAAATAAACACATAGAGAGTGTTTGGATGGAAACCAAACTATAGTTTCAAAAGTGTTTTTACGGTTTATGAAGTAAATATGTGGAGAAGTTTACCTCGTTTTACGAAAAATACTTCTGAGAAGCACTTTTTAAAGGTTGCCAAACACCTCCATACACACATACATGCAGAAAGCTAGGACGTTCGTAGCAAAACATTCACGGAGTTATCCTCAACCGGTTACGACCATGCATGCTTTTATTGGAATCAATATTGAAGTGAAACACAAATACAGACACACACATAGATGTTCGTGGCAAAACATTGACATATAGCTAAGGCCTAGGTTTAGGCATATAAATCACAGTGACGCTGCTTTAGGATAATGATGAGCAGGTAGTGTTGTGCCTCTGAGATGATTCATACTGAACGAGGATGAAGGAATTGGACCATGTGAAGGTGTGGGAGATGGAGGTGGCGGAGGATGACGGTGAGGCGACTTTGTCACCATCGTCAGACCACATCGCAGCATCGGAGTAGGACCGCCTGAATGACTCGGTGGCGGTGGCGGTGCCAGCCGTGAACCTTCATGCCTTCCCCTCCACCAACAGCTATTACAGTACTTCTCCCCTGCTCAAAATTATCCATGCATGTGTCATGTTATAATAATCAACAACTTGATTAAAAAAACAAAAAAAAATTATATCTCTTATCTGCATGACTGCATGTAATAACAATCTGATATGAAACAAATTAATACACATAATGCATCACCTGATGGTGCCAGAAAAGGTCTGGCTTCTACAAAAATGGAGGCAACAACGTTGTTAATTGGAAAGCCATGACAGCAACAAGGACAATATGGAGAGGCTTCATTATTATCATCTTGTTTGTTGTGATTTTGGTTATGAAGATCTTTTGTATATATATAGAGTCGTCAAGTAAACGGAAGTAGTTGATGGGTCCGAATCATATGTATAAAGGAGACGCAGAAGAATCCAATCCCATTTATTTTCTGTTTCTTTTTTGTATTATAAGATAAAGTCTGAAGCATGTTTTATAATCATTTTGGAAAATCTAACGTTACATCTAATACTAGGTTAGCCATAGGTGTGAGCAATGACGAGGAGGTTGTCTCATAATTGTGTTCTTCTATATTTATCCATACACAACCTTCCTTCTCTTCTTCATTTGGGTTTCCTATTTTATATGAATGTATACATAACTATGATGCTATAAAACTTATACTACCTCTGGTCCTAATTATAACATTCAGTTGACTAATTTGAGGAGATTAAGAAAATAAGTTGAATTAGTTATTTGTTCTAAATAGGTGTTGTCTTTCCTAAAATATCTTTGCTAAACAATTATATTGATTAGAACTATAATTATTAGAAGAATTATCTTGAAAAAAGTTGAATAAATATGAGAGACAAAGTAGATTGAGATCTTATATTTAGGACCAAAATAAAAGTCAAACAGGATCTTATATTAAGGACCGAAGGTAGTACATTACAGCTTTAGTGTATATGTATAGTATTGATGAAGATGCCATGCAGGGAGAGACAAAAGTCACAAATCAATGGCCAATAGATAAGTCATGCTTGACTACCAATGTCCCTAGCCATTCATATGTATATACAAGTATAGTCACACAAATACACTTGGAAAGTCAACATGGATTGCTGTGAAATACTCAATCAACAAAGTGATCTCAGGAACTTATATATATGTCCCAATAAGAAATATCATCTCATTCTATAGTTATTTTGTGTTACTACTTTTTTTACTTTCTATTCTTTTTTCCTCGCTTTTGTGAGTTTCTACAATTATTAGTTGCATCTCATATAGCGCGTGTTCAAGACTCGAATCAAAATAAAAGAATATATAAAAAAAAATTTTTACAAGTCATATCATTTATAAGTTAAGAACAGTAATTGTGTTACTTTTTTACTTTTTATTCTTTTTTCCTGGCTTATGTGAGCTTCTAAAATTAGTTGCATTTCATATAGCGCATGTTGAAGACTCGAATCAAAATGAAAGAATATAAAAAAAAACTTTTACAAGTCATATAATTTATAAGTTAAGAACAGTGTGACTCATTTCTCATATTCTATACAAGGCACATAATTAATCTACATCTAAATATATAAAAGAGATGTTATGAAAAGAATTTCTAAAATTATTGAGTTAATTTTGGTCCTAAATATAAGATCTATTTCTCATATTTATCAATTTTTTAAATTATCCCTTTGTATACTTCCTCAACCGTAATCAAGTAGAAGAGGAAGGAGGATATTAAGGAAGATGATTAAGATGTTTTAGGAAAAACATATCATATTTTTTACAATTAAAAAACTTATCTAAATTTTTAATCTAATCAAATTAGTTAAATAAGTGTTATATTGAGTATCATAAGTGTTATATTGAGTATCGGAGGAGTAACATTTTATCATGTAGCCAAAGTGTGTTCATATATGTTTTCTAGGGATTGGATCTGCTTATTAGCCCAATGTGTGTGCGCGCGCGCGCGCTGATATGACTCTTTAGCCTTGTAGTGAAATTAACACAAACGTGGTTGGATATTGTTATCATTATATTCTAAAAATGTGAGGCTTTACCCATAATTTAAGCACAATGAGAGTTCATGGAGAGTTTCCAATATGTCCTCTGAGCTTAATTCCCTTCATCAGCTACACTCACATACAGTATTTATATACCCAACAAATTAAATACAAGAGAAGATTTGATACGTACAACTTATTAAAGTTGGATATGTGCGTGTGACCTAAGCTCTAATAATTGATGTAATGACATCATAGTAATTACAGAGATAAATATTACTCTTCCGGTCCTTAATATAGGACCCAATTCTTGAGTTGGTTTTGGTCCTAAATATAAGACCCATTTCTCATATTTATCAATTTTCTCTAAATTAACCTTATAGATACTCCCTCAGCCATAATCAAGTAAAAGAGGGAAAAAAGGTATTAAGAAAGATGATTATGGTATTTTAGGAAAAACGTGTCACATTTCTTATACTTAACTAACTTACCTAATTTCCTTAATCTAATCAAATTAGTTAAATGGGTCCTATATTAAGAACCGGAGGAGTATATAATAATGATAGTTTATTATAAGATTTTAATGAGATGAGAGGATTGTTTAAAAAAAAAGAGAGAGATAGTGTTTTCAATATTGAAGCTTTAATTAACGAGTAAGTGCTCGTCTAAGATTCCATTGGCCCGGTGTCATTTTATTAATTTCCAGTGAAAGATTTTTGAAAAGGATCTTTGATTCTTTTGTCCTTCTATTTGATTATATGGTCATAAAAAAAAATCCTCTCATTTTGAATTATTCGAAAATAACTCTCTGCCGTGAATGATTATGGTAGATGCTTTCCGAGGTTATGATCAATAATACTATCTTTGGTCCTAAATATAAGAGCTAGTTGACTAATTTGAGTAAGTTAAGGAAATAAGTTAAGTTAGTTACTTGTTATAAATAGGTGTTGTATTCTTAAAATATCTTTATTAATCAAGTACATTAGCTAAAACTACTATTATTAAAAGATTACCTTAGGAAAAAATTATTCCTCCGATCCTAAATATAAGACCCCTATATACACTACAAAAAGGGTCTTATATTTAGGACCGGAGGAGTAATAAATGAGAGACAAAATAGATTGGGGTTTTACATTTAGAACTAAAATAAAAGTTAAACGAGGTCTTATATTAAAGACAGGAGGTAATGGTATTTTGAAACTTTCTTGAACAAAATTTCGTTCTTTAATTAAGTAGCTCAAACCAAGTTCATTTCAGGCTCAAAACATTTTCTTTTCTTATCTTTTCTCACTAGATTAGTGAATCTTAGTAGTTATTATAAGAGTCTTGTTAATTTACACCAATAATAATAGTAATAATAATAACAAGGGTTTTGCTCCAATAAACTTTGCCGTGGGTCCCATGAAATCTTGTCTAAAACATGATGTTTCTGGTTTAATTATATTAACATTGGATTCTCTAGTTGATTGGGTCAGTTAAATGTCACAACATGTCCTCCCATCCAATTCACCGCGCACATTAGGTTTGTGATTAAGTGCGCCTAATTAAACCACTAGGATAATAGCTTTCTTAAAAGGCAAAATAGCCAATTTCAGAAGTATAAAAGCACAATGATTATGTCTCATGTTTTAAGTTCACCAATGTAAAGAGCAACTACTGCTAGTGGAGAGAATTAGCTCCCAAAATTGAAACCTTACAGGGCGCGGGTAACACATTAAAAATAAATTTAAAGGAAGAAAAAATGTGAGAAAAAATATTTTATTGTGTTTAATAGATGACAAGATGATTCTTTTATGAAGAAAATTAATAAACTTGGGAAGCAAACGGCTAAATAGCTCTTAATCAAGCAAGGTGGCTGGCCAGGGCCTAGCACCAAGGCCATGAAAACCTCCCCCCCCCCCCCCCAAAAAAAAAAATCCCTTGTTTCCTTTCTCAGTTAACTATTTCCCTTAAGATAACCTTGGAAGCCCCTGCTTATTGTTTCCTCTTCAAGCTGCTGTATAGCGACAAAGCTGATGCAAAAGTGGCAAATTTTATTATGATTATATACAAAAAAATGGATATCACAACATCAGCTTAAAAAAAAAAAAAAAAAACCCGAATGGCCATTTGCCTCCACTCTTCCACTAAGAGCAATAGCCATTTGGAAACAGAATCATTACATCATCCAATCTGACCCAGGTTTTGGCGTTTTACTGTTCCTGTTTTCCACTGAATAAAGGAGTTCAGACCTTAAAAAATATCAACCGCTTGTGTGTGTGTGTGGATTATGACAACACAGAAAGTCCCTGCTATTTTCACTCTTGCCTTTTTCCTTTTGTTTGGGCTGAGCAGCCATTTTTGCAAGTAAAAATGTCAACTGGAACTATGCATTTCAGTGCGCTGCAGTTGGTTGAGTGCTTCAAAATTTTTATGCTTGTACCACAAAAGAATGGCGCCTGCTAGCCTCTACCACAAACTCTTTTGTTTGTCACTTTGTCTCCTTCCAAAAGGACATCCAATTCTGGTTGAGTTGAGAATCTACTCATCTTCTACTGAGTCATTTTTTCTCTTCACAAATTATAGCTTCTAGTGAATGTTTTCTGTTGTACTGATATTTCCACTTCCACTCAAGCCTCACCCTGCAATTTCAAAAGACTTGGGCATTCTCATTCTCAACGCAAGGCTGCTTCTTGTTCATGTTTTCTATATGACTGTCTATCATTATCAAGGAGCTTTTTCCACATACGCAACATGGTTTTCATAGGGGCATTGTTCATCTTCTTACTTCAATACCCAGCTTCAACATGCAGTCTCACCCATCCAAGGCATCACCACTTTTCTCACTCTCTTCTCACAGATAAGGCTGCTCTTCTGGAATTCAAGAAAACCATCATATTTGATCCACATTCCACACTCTCTAACTGGGATGAAGCTGTTCATGTGTGTAATTTCACAGGTGTTAAATGCGATAAATTTCAGCACCGAGTTACTGAACTAATCCTGACTGAAACTCATCTTGTGGGGTTGCTTTCACCCTTCCTTTCCAATCTCACTGGACTGCACATCCTTGACATAGTTGACAATTACTTATTTGGCATTATCCCACCAGAACTATCCTCTCTTAGACGTCTCCATCGGCTCCATCTAGAGGGGAACAATTTGCATGGTTCCATACCAGACTCCTTTTCCCAGCTTTCTAAACTTAACGTGCTGCACATCAAAGACAGTAACATGAGTGGTTCACTTTCTCCATCTCTTTTCTCCAATTGCACACTGGAAATTGTGGACCTTTCTAGCAACTTCCTCAATGGTAAGATCCCAGAGGAGATTGGAAACTGCCCAGGTCTGTGGAGTCTCAATCTATACAACAATCAATTTACTGGACAGATTCCTCTCTCTCTTACTAATCTGTCACTTGTAAACTTAGATGTAGAGTACAATCTATTGTCTGGAGAATTGCCCTCAGAGTTTCCAAGCAGCTGTTCTGATCTTCTTTACCTACATTTGTCATACAACCATCTGGTAAGTCATGATCGTAATACCAATCTTGATCCATTTTTTGCTGCTCTTAGAAACTGCAGCAGTCTAGAAGAGCTTGAATTGGCTGGCATGGACCTTGGGGGAAGATTCTCCGATACCATCTGTCAAGTTGGCATCAAACTTAAAAGTTTGCTACTGCAGGAAAACCAAATATATGGATCAATCCCTGACTGTGTATCAAATCTTTCCAGCCTTATGATCCTGAATTTAACATCCAATCTTCTCAGTGGAACTATTTCACCAGAGATCAGCATGTTGTCAAAATTGGAACAACTTTTCTTATCAAACAACCACTTCAAATCTGCAATTCCAAAAGCACTGGGCAACTGTCTAAATCTGGGTCTGCTAGATCTGTCACGCAATGAATTTACAGAAGGGATTCCGGAAAGTCTGGGAAAGTTGGGTAGGCTAAATTCTTTGTTTCTCAATAATAACCACCTCACAGGAAATATACCTTCTACATTAGGAAATTGCATTGGTCTGTATAGGCTTGACTTGTCCTATAATAGATTAACAGGAACCATCCCACCAGAACTCTCAGGCCTGCATGAAATTAGAATTTTCATAAACCTCTCACATAACCAACTAGAAGGTCACCTGCCAATTGAGCTCAGCAAACTAGAAAAGGTCCAAGAGATGGATTTTTCATCAAATCACCTAACTGGAAATATCTTCCCTCAGATAGCAAGCTGCATTGCTGTATCAATGATAAATTTTTCAAACAATTCTCTACAAGGTGAGCTTCCTGAATCGTTAGGTGAACTGAAGAACCTTGAAACTTTTGATGTTTCACGAAACAATTTGTCCGGATTGATCCCCAAAACTCTAAGTAAAATAGATACACTTTCTTTCATCAATCTATCATATAACAACCTAGAAGGAATGGTTCCATCTGGTGGTATCTTTGATTCAGCATCAAGTTTATCATTCTTAGGAAACCCAAATCTTTGTGGAACAATAACAGGAAAACTTTCATGCTTTCAAAAGAGACATTGGTTCAGAAATCACCTGTTCTTGATTACTTTCACCTTGGTCATCTGCATAATCTTGTCAATGGTTTGCTGCATAATTGGATGTAAGCGTCTTAAAGTGATCATTTCTGCCCAGGGCACTGAGCTAGATGGAAAACCAGCTAGACGTGAACTGATAAGCAACTTCCCAAGAATCACATACAAGGAACTGTCGGAGGCCACTGGAGGATTTGATGATCAGAGACAAGTAGGATCAGGTAGCTATGGACACGTCTATAGAGGCGTTCTTCCAGATGGAACCCCAATAGCAGTCAAAGTGCTGCATTTGAAGTCTGGAAATTCCACCAAGAGCTTCAATAGAGAATGCCAAGTTTTAAAGAGGATTCGACACAGGAACCTGATAAGAATTATCACTGCATGTAGTCTACCTGATTTTAAAGCTCTTGTTTTGCCTTATATGGCCAAGGGGAGTTTGGAGAGCCGTCTCTATGCTTCTCCTGGATCTTCTGACCTGAGTATCATCCAGAGGGTGTATATTTGCAGCGACATCGCTGAAGGGTTGGCCTATCTGCATCATCATTCTCCAGTCAAAGTCATTCATTGTGATCTAAAACCAAGCAATGTTCTTCTTAATGATGACATGACAGCTGTAGTTTCGGATTTCGGGATTGCAAGGTTAATTATGAGTGTGGGAGGAGGAAATACTGGGTTTAATGATAACATGGGAAGCTCCACTACTAATTTATTATGTGGATCTACCGGATACATTGCACCAGGTATTTAATTTAGATCTTCCTCAGCACTGGGCAGGTTACAAGAGTCTAAGATTACTTGGAATTTTTCTTAAAAAAATTGTTTTTGTCGCTCCCCTAGGGGGGTGGTCAAGAACTCAGGTCATTAGGAAGAAACATAATACCAAGCTCACTTAATTACAAAAACATAGGAATGTAGGCCTAAATATCAGTTCATCACTAAATGACTTCTACTTCTAAGAAAAAGGCATAAATATCATTGGAGTTGGCTTTGCTACAACTTGACTACAACAACACACTACCACAAGCATCCCACAAAAATAAAATTCATGCTAATTCTTTTTCTTTACCAGAAAATTCATTCTGCTTTGGTAAAACATCAATATGCATTTCAGAGTCGTCGTCATTCTATACTTTCCCATGCAGAGTACGGATTTGGATCAAATACATCTACAAAAGGAGATGTGTACAGCTTCGGTATTCTTGTTCTTGAGATGGTGACTAGAAAAAGACCAACAGATGACATGTTTTCTAGAGGCTTGAGCCTTCACCAATGGGTAAAAATTCATTATCATGGGAGGTTAGAAAATGTGATAGACCCTGCTGTTGTTACTGCTTCAAGAGATCAGTCAGAGGAGGTGAAAAGAATGTGGGAAGTTGCAGTTGTAGAGTTAATTGAGCTGGGGATCCTTTGCACACAGGAATCACCTTCTACAAGGCCTAGCATGCTTGATGTAGCAGATGACTTGGATCGTCTCAAGGGATACCTTACTGGGGACACAACTAGAACTTTTGCCTCGTCTCTCGGAATTTTAACTTCTACAAGGCCTAGCATGCTTGATGTAGCAGATGACTTGGATCGTCTCAAGAGATACCTTACTGGGGACACAACTGGAACTTTTGCCTCGTCTCTTGGAATTTTAACTTCTACTACAGATGATTTTTAAAAGCTTTTTATGATGTAGTCTTGAAGAGTCTTGAAGTAAAATTTTAAGGAAGAGTGTTAAAGGAATGATAGTTTTCCAAATACTCTTTGTCCATATTAACATTAGCTGTCTAGTTTTCCAAATGCTCTTAGTTGTCTTCATGTGTTATTTTTTCAGTTATGATGTAGCCCTAAAACTAATATGTTTTGTAACCAGTAAATCCATAGATGTTGAAGTAGTACTAACCCTCAGTATTTTTGCTACTCCAATTCTTTAAAATATGTGGTAAATGGAAATATGCTGCAGAGTGAAGCCCACCAGCAAAATCATAAGAGGCATCCTTCTGTTTTATACACACACACATTTAACTATAGTTTCAACCCAAAATCATCATGGAGTAAAGCAAGCCAAGTAAAAAGATTGGAAAGGACACCAGTATTTCGTTAGTGGCCACTGGATTGTCATTTTCCCCCTTTTTTTTCATTTGCCACTAACGAATACAAAGATAAACCACCCAATGAGCGATATTTGATAATTGATATCACAATTTCCAGTTGAAGCTACGTCCCGATCTTTCAATTAGTGAACTTTCACAAGCAAAATTTCTAACATGAATTTCAAAATTAAACAATGCCAAAATTTCAGCATTCTTGCAGACAATTACTTGTAGTTCTTGGAGATCTTTCACCAGTCCACCGAGAGATTTTCCCCAAAAATTGAAAATTGTCCTCCGAATTCAACTGGACAACCAAAAAGATACCGGAGAAGTGGGAGGGAAAAAAACTCACCATCGAGCAGGTTCAACAAGGGAAAAACAACCCACGACCTGCGCAATCCTTGCGAGGAGTAATTATATACACAAGCAAATCAGGATGGCTGTGTTTCCTGCCGAGTGCGATGAAGATCAAGTTGGCTCGGTCCAAGTAAAAGGCCATGGCATTGGGGAAGATCAAATTTTTAATGTTTATCGTTAATCTATTAACTATTAACTATTAACGAGGAGGGTGACATGTTCTTACGAATTACAGTGACCCCGCAATGGAGAAATTACAACGAAGGGCTAATTTTTCTGTATGTCTAATTGGATCAAATTTCACTATTATCTGACTTAATTAGGAGTAAACATTTTCTACATTTACACCAGTTTCATATAGTAAGATCTCTTATTTTTATGGTGTGACTGATGAGCGAGTGATTCTAGCAGTCTTTGTTTCGGATGAGAGAAGACCTCAGTTAAGTCATTGTTGGCTTTAATTTTAATGTATTTCTCCTTCTAACAGAAGTCTTGAAAGGATTCCCAGAATTTCAACAATGTTACTTGGTTGGAATCAAATATTTCTTGAAGCCTTTCATCCCCAAGTCATTGCTCCATTATGATCAACAAAGCCATCCGCGTCCAATCTGATCCATTGAGTAGCTTTTTTTTTTTTTTTTTAATACACTTCCCTGTCTTTTTATTAGAATTAATTTTATTCAAAATACTGTTAGATACTAATTGTGAGTAATTCTCCCAGCAAGAATTTAAATATTTGTTTATCACGTTGTGATGGATTAGTCCATTTTATTAAACCCAACTCTCGTTGATTATTTGAGTAGCTATTTTAATTGGGAGTCTCTTCTTCTCTGGTCACCAACATTGGCTACAGATTCCAAGTTGAGATCATCAAAAATATTTTGGGCCAGAAAATATTCCATTTTGGAAACCATGGGAAAAGGATTGGTTTCTCTTAGTCTTGATTTCAGCTCAGAACTATAAATTCTATTTGATGGCAAAATGATTAATCTTCTATTGTCAAATACAGTGTCAACATTGGACACCTTGAGGCAGTGGTGCACATCCTACAGCAGCCTTTCATAACTGGAGTTTCTCGAGTTTGTAAGTCAGTTCCACTCTTACCTACAGTCAGAAGAGAGGAGAGTCGTTGTTCTTCTCTCAAAGACATCCATGTGGATATAGTGTGTACCTTCAACAGGAAACCAGTCTGGATTATAGTGTCTGATAGAAATCCAAGGTACATTTCTTGGCATAGATGTCATAAAAGTAAGGGTTTAGAATTGCGCATGCAAGAAGTCCTAGCTGCTGCACAATCTAGCTTAACATTAGGACCTTCCTCAGTTATACTTTTCTTTGCGAATGGGATTGCAAACCATGTCTACAAAAAACTTCAAGATAAGTTTGGGGCGTCAGAAATTGGATTGGGGCCTTCAGTTTTCAACTTTGATGCATTTGAGGAATCAGAAGGAGACTGGATAAACATACTGGCAAGATCTTATAAAGACGCTTGCATCCTTGAAATAAAACCGATCAATAGCAAGGATGCTGTTTCAGGGGTAGAACATATTGACAAAGGTTTGACTGTGGACTCTGCTCAACTAGGGGTTTCAGTTGAGAAAACTGCTCAACCTCAGCTTTCTGTTGAAGATTGTGAAGCCAACATGGCTAATGCATTCTGCTCCATTGTTCTGGGACTGAAATTATGCTCCCTGAAAATTAAAAATTTAGAATCTTCTGAACCAGGAAACTACGTTAGAGAAGTTGATTTGATAAACTTTGATACAACAGCTTTGATAGCTCTTGTAACAGGAATTAGTAATGGTGGTGCCCAGAATCTTTTGGCTCGTCCAGAGAGTGAATTGAGGGAGAGATTCAAAGGAAACTATGAGTTTGTGGTTGGTCAAGTGAGTAATCTCACCCATATTGCGCCACATTTTTTCATTTCTTTATGTTATTTTCTCCTGGTGAGATAGTCATGTTATCATAATGGTTATCTACCCAGCAGTGACTATGTAGGCTTCATGAATTTACACAATGAACAGCTAGTTTTTTTCCTCCCAAAAGAGAAAAAGACCAATCTGTTTGGTTATTCATCCCTAAGGGTCAGATAACGCACATCATGATTATTCAGTTTTAAAGTTTGACTTAATCACGCTATGTGGTACTTGGGTCTTAAACGTGAGAGCTTGTTTGGCTGGTCCTGAAGTTGAACTCTTTTTCGTTAGAATGCAGAGCTATTTAACTACACATCGGACCTTTTGAATTTCAAAGGATCAAATTGAAACTTTTTTTTCTAGCTGTCAATCGGTTTTTTTATGGCATTTACAACTGTAGACTTAATTTTAAACATTTGATGGCTTTCCTGGCTTGTAAATAATTCATTCCTTGTTTCCTTACTTCGCCATATCTTAATAGATCTTATTAACATGATTACCATTTACCAGGAATAAGAAATATTTTATAACAATAAACTCTTATCCTCAAGTTTTCTTCGTCTCAGTGTCCTTATTGAAAGTCAACTGGAGCAATGAGGCTGTTAAATTGATTGTCAGTTACAGTACTGATCAGATTTCTATCATATGGAATAGCATTTTTCAGATAAAATCACAGTATGGGCTAAACGCACAGTGTAGAATTATGTGTTTTGTATTTTATGTAGTTTTTCTAAATTATAAAAGCTTTTCTCAGCATTCTTCTCATTTGGCTGAAGTTTTTCTCACCTTTTTCTTCAGGCAATGTCTGAAATTCAGAATCCGATCCATGTGGAATTCAGCAGAGTGTTATGTGGAAAGACAGGCATGATTTGTGAGAGTGTCCATATGGAATTCAAGGAGTTGGTATTAATGTGTGGAGGGCCGAATGAGAAACTGAGAGCTGACAAATTAATAAATAGCCTAAGGTGAATTTGATGACTATATTATTTAATTGCCAAATCACTTATTTTATTCTTCGAAAATTCCGGGGATATGCTGTTTTGTTAACCATAAGAATCATTTAGCTACTCCATCATTGTTATCTAGTTCTGTGGAACAGCCCAATCGCAAGGTTTTTATCAGTATTTGCTTTGTCTTACGGATTGAAAGAACCAGCTAAGGCATTAACACCTTATTAAAGATAATCTTTTATAACCTCTATGGAATATAACAATGTTTATTACTTGGTCACCATGCTTGAATAATTGGTCATACGTAATCAAGTGGAAGATTAATTCTTTATTATTCCTAGTTAAATCTAGTGCTGTGTAGTTAAACATTTACTGAAGTCGTGGAGTTGCTCTTGCTGAATTTGAGTTTCCCCCTAATTTTGTATTTATGTAGTTCACATAAACTTTGTTCGCTAGTTTTGATTTTTCAACTTGCTGATGTCTGATCTAATAGTTTTAATATGTTTCTCTAACAAACTGGGGGTATTTTCTCAGGGTTGTTCCTGATTGTCCATCAGAACGGATGATGGGTCTGCCAACAACAAGAAAGTTGGCAATGAAAAATAAGGTTGTTTTTGGCACTGGTGACTATTGGCACGCTCCAACTTTAACTGCAAACATGGCGTTTGTCTGAGCAGTTTCTCAGACAGGGATGTCCCTTTCCACTATTGAGCATAGACCACGTGCCTTAATTGGTGATTAATCATTTAATTGCATACATTCTCCACATGAACACTGAAGGCTTTCTTTCCCACAACAATAACAGGCAATAGAGTGTATTTTCAATTAGAGGGGGTACCTTGTCTGTTCATTAAATCCCCATTGCTTGAGGAGTTCAGCAAATCTAAACATTGCAATTTATTTAGTTGTTTAAAAGCCTCATTTGACTTGCCTTGTAAAATAGGTATGGAAATACGAGAAACACTAAAGTTTTATGTTTTGATGAGAATTATAGAAGTTTTTATAGTATCCTATGTTTATTTCATTAGCATACAATGGACTGTTTTATACGACAAAGCTTGATGATGCACCTCTGATAAACTATTTACCACTATCCCCTTGTTGGATATTTTAAGCATTTTGTTCTTGTTAGCTATTGTGTATTGTGGTTCCTATAAAAGGCGCATACGTTGAAGTAGTTCTTAAATTGTCTGTCTGCTTTCTGGTTGCCCTACAGCTGTTTCTTCTTGTCGTTGAGCACTTGCTCTATTATACTATTATCATTTTTTACGTTCTCCTCCAGAGGAAGGCCATAAGTTAATCTTTTCTTTTTATTTTTGGTTAGATGGGTGGGCCTTGAGATTACAAAATTTGGAGGAAGAAAAACAAAAGAAAAAAATGGCGGGGAGGGGGAGATCAAGGTCAAGATCAAAACTAGCGGCACTTAATGTTTAGGAAAGTGTCACTTAAGAAATAAACTCAAGCATATCACATGCCAGTTTCCCTTTACTAGTGATGAAAGAAGATTGGTAATTGAAAAAACTTTAATTTCCCATGATAACGTTTATTCAGAAAAAGAATAGATCTTCTAATGCAGACACAGAAGAAATCCTTCAAGGCAACGTGAGAGGCTGCCACTGTAGGGTAAAATGCAGGGAACAAGGCAGAAATCATCATCGTGTATAAAACTTAAAGTTTGACTCTGAATTTACAGTCGCTAGCCTTGATGCTTATCGGATTATTAGCAGACAAGCTATCTGCTGTCAACATACATTAACCCAAGACTCTGACCTTTCTCAGCTTCAACCTCCCGAGTTTAATGGCTACTGGTGCGTGGACCTTAAGCTCCAAAGGAACACGCCCTGTCTGCTGCTGTTCCTGCAGTGCTGCCATTAAAGTGCTTCCAGCTTGCACTTGACCGGTCAAGGACACGTCAAGTACTGTTTTGTTCCGATGGCCTTGGTAAAACTCAGGTAATGATCCTTCGCAAAGTTGAGTGTTTGAGTACCACACACTCAACCCTCCTCCTTTCTCATAGTAAATTCCAATCTTCTTGTTTGGGTTGTTCGCTGTAATCTTCACATCAAACTTTGCATACAGAGTCACGTCAAAGTTCAACCTCAAATCACTTATCCTTAGGCTGTTTACTGAGTAATTGGGAAGCTTTGGTTTGAAAACTAGGTAGATGATTCCTGCGGTTGCTCCCAACATGATGAGTAGGATTATAAGCAAGACTAGTGTCCAGCATATGCATTTACAAAAGCAACCTCTCTTTGGTTTACGTGGGTGGATTACAGGCCTAGCATGTTGTATTAACGCAGGGTGTTGCTGCGCCATCACCGGAACACTCTTTTCCGATCTTGATGAGCCTGGCAGCATCAGTGGCGCCGTTTGTGGTGAAGGTGGTGGTGCTTCTGTGGCTTCCATGGGATAGATTCTCTGATGATCTGCCATGGATGAGAGTGTCCTTTGGTTCTTTGTACGAGCAATAAGGACGCTAGTGAAAAAGCATTGTTTCAATGGTGATGAGCATGGAGATATAAAGAGTTTGCTTATTTGACTTCTGTTGCGAAGATTGATGTGTTGGAATGTGAACTTGATTGGTGTCACAAGAGCGACAGGATTTTCTGCATCCCACAAAATCCGGGTATTTAAGGAAAGAGCAAAGAAGGTATTAAATCTTGACTCAACTAATTTGAGCCCAACATCTTATCTCTAAAAATCTGTAAAGTGGTGCTGGGTTATCGCAGCTGAAAGGACATGTTTTTTTGGACAAATGCCACTTCCTTACGTTGGGATTGTTCATGTCTATATTGTCCAAGTCGCAATCATGTTGGGATGGGTTGGTCCCAACCCAAAAAATTGCAAGGCGGAACCAAAGGAAACCAAACAGAATAAGGGACAGAATGAGACACAGAACGATCCTCGAAATGTCTATATCTTATCTTTGAAGTGTACTTATTTACTGTGGATCAATCTTCAATATATATGTCTGGTTGTGGTTCTAGATTTTGTATTCTAGCAGGTAAGTTATGTTGTGAGAAGAAATGTCGGCAACAACTATAACATTTCCTCAATTGGTGAAAATTGAATTTAGAATTTTCTCTGTTCACATATGCATTCCATTCCTGAATAGCTCAACATCCTCGAGATGGAAAAGTTGTCCCGTGCTATTTTGTTCAAAAGACACAAGAAAGGATTTTCTTCATCCCCTCCCATCCTGCCTATTTTATGTGCTTATAGACTTTGTTTAAAGACACTTTCATGAAGCTCACTAGAAGTAAGGTTTAATTTTATTCGTTAGTGAGCCATTCTCAAATTATAGTCTAGATTTTCAATTGTTTTATAAGCAAATTAGACGGAGAAACTACCATAACTTTGGCCTTCAAATTGTCTATTCCAAATTTCATGTATTTTTTTTTGGTTATTTATGACCAAAACACATATTAAATGGAGAATAAAAGGAAAATCATTTTGCAAGTACTTATATTTTTTTCTTAATTTTTAATATGGTACTTGTGTATTTTTTTCCTCTTAATTAAACACTGTAATTTTGTTTTATTAGCATCGTTAATTTTTGTATAAAGGCTAACAATACTAACAGCAAAATTATAGAGGTTAAAACTAGAGTGTTTAATTAAGAAGAACAAAACACAAGTACCAAATTAAGAATTAAGGAAAACTATAGGTAAAATGGTTTTCATAACTAAAGTAAAAATAGAATAAAAATATTTCCCCTCTTTTTCACACACAAATAGTGATTATATATTTATATATATAGGAAAATATTAATTATATTTTTATTGTTTTCACACTTTTTATTTTATCTTTTAATGAACCACTAAAGGATTAATAAAATTATTTTCAACCTAATAAATTTTATATTTCTTCAAATCATGTTTCCTGCTGTGCATAGTTATTTCTAACTTGGCCCTGCTACGATGCCGCCACCTCAACGTCTCTCCAGAAGCCTCTGGCGTTTGCTTCTGCGTTCTCTCTAGATTTCTCTTTCTTATTCTCTCATGACTTTCATGCACTGGCTAGTTCCTTCTTCCACCTTCGCTTCTCCACCAAGATTTTTTCTCGTCAGCCCCCTGACCCATCACTATAAATTCAAATCTCTCTGGTACTTCTACCTCCGTCATATTCTTAAACCAGAAATTCGCCAAGCTCTTATCGAAACCCAGCCAATTTATCTTTTACAATCTTCTGTTTCAGTTGCAACACTTGACATAGTTTCTTGTTGAAGCACTTTCATTCACCTATGGCGTCCAAGACTGAAAAGGCCATCGGCATCGACCTCGGAACCACCTACAGCTGCGTCGGCGTGTGGCAGAACGACCGTGTTGAGATCATTGCTAATGATCAAGGTAACAGAACCACCCCTTCCTACGTAGCTTTTACTGACACAGAGCGTTTGATCGGCGATGCGGCCAAGAACCAAGTCGCCATGAACCCACAGAACACCGTCTTCGACGCGAAACGGCTCATCGGACGGAGATACTCCGACCCCTCTGTTCAGAGTGACATGAAGCTCTGGCCTTTCAAGGTGATTCCCGGCGCCGGTGACAAGCCTATGATTGTCGTTAACTACAAAGGCGAAGAGAAGCATTTTGCTCCCGAAGAGATCTCCTCCATGGTTCTCACGAAGATGAAAGAAGTGGCTGAAGCGTTTCTGGGTCTGAGCATTAAGAACGCGGTCATCACTGTACCTGCTTATTTCAACGATTCACAGAGGCAGGCGACGAAAGATGCTGGAGCCATTGCTGGGCTTAACGTGATGAGAATCATCAACGAGCCCACTGCTGCTGCAATTGCCTATGGTTTGGACAAGAAAGCTTCTAGAACCGGCGAGAAGAACGTGCTTATCTTCGACCTCGGAGGTGGTACTTTTGATGTTTCGCTGTTGACAATTGAAGAAGGGATCTTTGAAGTGAAGGCTACTGCCGGTGATACGCACTTGGGAGGTGAAGATTTTGATAACAGGCTTGTGAATCACTTCGTGGCTGAGTTCAAGAGGAAGAACAAGAAGGACATAAGTGGCAATGCTAGAGCATTGAGACGATTGAGAACTGCTTGTGAGAGAGCAAAGAGGACTCTGTCTTCCACAACACAAACAACAATAGAGATTGATTCTCTTTATGAAGGCATTGACTTCTATGCGACCATCACAAGGGCCAGATTTGAAGAGCTGAACATGGACTTGTTCAGAAAATGCATGGAACCAGTGGAGAAATGTCTGAGAGACGCGAAAATCGACAAGAGCCAAGTTCACGACGTGGTTCTTGTTGGTGGGTCGACAAGAATACCCAAAGTTCAGCAACTTCTGCAAGATTTCTTCAACGGCAAGGAACTCTGCAAGAGCATAAACCCAGATGAAGCTGTGGCTTATGGTGCTGCTGTTCAAGCTGCAATCTTAAGTGGTGAAGGGAACCAAAAAGTCCAAGACTTGCTTCTTCTGGATGTCACACCTCTGAGCCTTGGTATTGAAACTGCAGGTGGGGTTATGACTGTGTTGATTCCTAGAAACACCACCATACCCACCAAGAAAGAACAAGTTTTCTCTACCTACTCAGATAACCAGACCAGTGTCCTTATCCAAGTCTATGAAGGTGAAAGAGCTAGAACCAAGGATAACAACTTACTGGGGACTTTTGAGCTCAAGGGCATCCCACCAGCACCAAGAGGAGTGCCTCAGATCAATGTGTGCTTCGACATCGATGCCAATGGTATTCTGAACGTCTCTGCAGAAGATAAGACAGCAGGAGTGAAGAACAAGATCACAATTACAAATGACAAGGGAAGACTGAGTAAGGAGGAGATAGAGAGGATGGTGCAAGAGGCAGAGAAGTATAAATCAGAGGATGAGCAGGTGAAGAAGAAGGTGGAAGCTAAGAATTCATTGGAGAATTATGCTTACAGTATGAGGAACACGATCAAGGACGATAAGGTTGGAGGGAGGCTTGATCCTTCGGATAAACAGAAGATTGAGAAGGCCATTGATGAGACAATGGAGTGGCTTGATAGGAACCAGTTGGCTGAGGTTGATGAGTTGGAGGACAAGTTGAAGGAGCTCGAAGGATTGTGCAACCCCATCATTGCCAAGATGTACCAAGGTGGTGCTGCTGGCGGAGACACGCCTATGGGTGGTGGTGCTGAGATGCCCGGTGGTGGCGCCAGCAGCGGCTCTGCAGGCTCCGGCGCTGGGCCTAAGATTGAAGAGGTTGACTAAGCCTGAGGATTCAAATTTTAAAAGGTTCCATTTCACTGTTTCTTTTGGTGTGTGTTTGAGCAGATCCCTCTACTGGGAAAGATGGTGTGGCGTGAGATGATATAGTTATGTAATTCAGATAGTATCAGCTGTAGTTTTTTTTCCCCCTTTAGATATAAAATAAGAAAGGGTGTTCGATGTAGCTTTTTGCTATTTTTTTTATATTTATTCCTTGAAATTTAATTTCAGACAACAATCTGCTCAACATTGGAACGTTTGGTAGCCAAGCGTGATAGTAAAGTGAGGTTGGAATCACCTAAATAGGAGTTCACAGGATTTATAGTTAGATGATGTGCCATGAGAACTAGAAGAGAACCGATTATATATTCTTCTACACCCGTGAAGAGCAGTTTTCTCGCGTTATATGTAGCATGTTCTGATTTTTTTCGTTTGGGGTCAGAGGATCAAAATTTGATTGTATTGATTCATTTCACAATAGCGAAAATTCTGTTTAAATTTAAAAATATCCTTTCAACTTATTGCAACATATTTAAATCTTCATATATGACTTTTTTTTGCACGAGATACTATATACCATATATAGGACTAATATCTCATGATTTAGTAGTTGTTGGCTTAAGTGGTGAGGGCAAATAAACCTATTTGAATCCAAATAAATTATTATGAAGTCATCCTATTTTGACTAGATTTTTTGAAATCCCAATAAATTATGATTTTAATCCTTATCATACGATTCAGCATTAGCAACTAAGGGCCTGTTTGGGTGCCCCAAAACCATGGTTTCAGAAGCACTTTTCTGCAAAACGAGGTAACCTCCTCCACATATTTACTTCGTAATCCGTAAAAGCACTTCTGAAACTATGGTTTGGTTTCTATCCAAACACTCCCTAAGAGTTGCTTTTGCGATTAAAAAATCCCAATAAAGATTCAACAAAGGACGCTTCTCCTATCTGCCCTCATTAATAATAATTATTAAATAATAATTATAAATATGTAAACAATTTATTAAATGATTATAATTATGAAAATAATTATTAAATGTAAACAACTTTATAAAAGCTACACCATTTTTGTTAATTATATATCTATAAGTGATTTAATAAATGAAATTCAAACGTAATCAACATTTTGAAAGTCACTTAAAAGAAAAAGAAACAAAAATTACTATAACCAGCGCCACATACAAAAATAATGATAATCTAAAATTACAATTATTTACCGTCAGGTCACTTCAATTTTCTCCAACCTTTGGGAGTGAATCCATGGACAAGTCAATTGAATGTAGGAAATAAGAACAATAATAAAAGGTCCTCTGTTTCGCATGGTGTTCAATAGGAGTATTCATGATGCTTGGCTATGAAAAATAAAGGGAAAATTTCACTGTAGGACCGCAGAAGACAATTAATATCAAAGAGCCTCCAAAACTTTCTGAAACCTCACTGCAAGACCAAGGGACCAATCTGATATTAATTTTTAGAGTGAGATTACAATAATACCCATCCCTTTTTATTTTATTAAAAAATAAATATTTACCGGAGTTACTGTTCCGGCCACCGGAGGTCGGAGGTCCGGCCACCGGCGCTCAGGTGGCTGCCGTCGGGGTCCGGTCACTGGTGGCCGGAACAGTAACTCCGGCGGGACCTCCGATGGCCGGAGTTTTTTTGTTTAAAACAAAGTGGCCAAGGGAGGGTTTGAACCCAGGACCCCTTGGCACACCAAAAGACTTGTAACCACCAAGCCAAGCAACCCATTCAATCATAACATGCAAATAAAACTATATATAACAAAATAAACGCAACAGTCCAAATGTATGTGAACAAGTGAAATTAGACGATTTACAAGTGGAATTCAGAAATTTGCAACAAAAATTAGACAATTTACAAATAACATAATAGAAGTCATAGCCCAAAATGTAAGTATTTAAGTACAAATGAGCAAGTAAAATTTGAAGATTTACATTAAAAGTTTATGGATTTACAACCCAAATTTGGCAAACACAAGAGAATTCACAACCCAAAATGTAAGTGTTTGAGTGTAAGTGAACAAGTGAAATTAGACGATTTATAAGTAGAATTCAGCAATTTACAACAAAAATTAGGCAATTTACAAATAACATAATGGAACTCACAATCCCAAATACAAGTGTTTAAGTGTAAATGAGCAAATAAAATTTGAAGATTTACAACAAAAGTTTATAGATTTGCAAGTGAAATTCGACAATTTCATTTGCTCATTTGCACTTAAACACTTGCATTTGGGGTTATGACTTCTATTATGTTATTTGTAAATTGCCTAATTTTTGTTGTAAATTGCTGAATTCCACTTGTAAATCGTCTAATTTCACTTCTTTACTTACACTCAAACACTTACATTTTGGGTTGTGAATTCTCTTGTGTTTACCAAATTTGGGTTGTAAATCCATAAAATTTTATTGTAAATCTTTAAATTTCACTTGCTCATTTGCACTTAAACACTTGCATTTGGGGTTATGACTTCTATTATGTTATTTGTAAATTGTCTAATTTTTGTTGTAAATTACTGAATTACACTTGTAAATCGTCTAATTTCACTTCTTCACTTACACTCAAACACTTACATTTTGGGTTGTGAATTCTCTTGTGTTTGCCAAATTTGGGTTGTAAATCCATAAAATTTTATTGTAAATCTTTAAATTTCACTTGCTCATTTGCACTTAAACACTTGCATTTAGGGTTATGACTTATATTATGTTATTTGTAAATTGTCTAATTTTTGTTGTAAATTGCTGAATTACACTTGTAAATCGTCTAATTTCACTTGTTCACTTACACTTAAACACTTACATTTTGGGTTGTGAATTCTCTTGTGTTTGCCAAATTTGGGTTGTAAATCCATAAAATTTTATTGTAAATCTTTAAATTTCACTTGCTCATTTGCACTTAAACACTTGCATTTAGGGTTATGACTTCTATTATGTTATTTGTAAATTGTCTAATTTTTGTTGTAAATTGCTGAATTACACTTGTAAATCGTCTAATTTCACTTGTCCACTTACACTCAAACACTTACATTTTGGGTTGTGAATTCTCTTGTGTTTGCCAAATTTGGGTTGTAAATCCATAAACTTTTATTGTAAATCTTCAAATTTTACTTGCTCATTTTGGGTTATGACTTCTATTATGTTATTTGTAAATTGCCTAATTTTTGTTGCAAATTTCTGAATTCCACTTGTAAATTGTCTAATTTCATTTGTTCACTTACATTTGGATTGTTGCATTTATTTTGTTATATATAGTTTTATTTGCATGTTATGATTGAATGGGTTGCTTGGCTTGGTGGTTATAAGTCTTTTGGTATGCCAAGGGGTCCTGGGTTCAAACCCTTCCTTGGTCACTTTGTTTTAAACAAAAAAACTCTGGCCACCGGAGGTCCCGCCGGAGTTACTGTTCCGGCCACCGGTGACCGGACCCCGACGGCGGCCACCTGAGCGCCGGTGGCCGGAACAGTAACTCCGGTAAATATTTAGTTTTTAATAAAATAAAAAAGGAGGGGTATTATTGTAATCTCACTCTAAAAATTAATATCAGATTGGTCCTTTGGTCCTGCAGTGAGTTTTCAGAAAGTTTTGGGGGCTCTTTGAGATTATTTGTCTTCTGCGGTCCTACAGTGAAATTCTCCCAAAAATAAATGTCTTGCCCAGCCCATAGAAAGGCAGTCTGAAAAAAAGATGAGCATTATCAGGCCGAACTAATTAGGAGCAGGGTCGAGCATTGCGCACGACATACTGCCCTACCCAAAAAAATACATACATAATTTTTTTTGCCAACTATATATATGATTATATCTATTTTATACTATAATATTAATAAATTATAAAATTATGATTTTTGAAACTGATATGAATATGAAATGGAATACGCAGGAAACGCGAAATTTCATGCTTTCTATTGGTTTGATTTTGATAGCTTTTATGCGTTGATATTGATTTTATTATATTATATTTTCAAAAAATGATATATATTATATTTATTATCATTCACACAAATCCTAGTTGAGGAACTCTTACCTCACCCGTAAAGTTTGAGCTGAAGCACCATTTGATCTTTCTTTGTCAATTAAAGCAATAAAAGTAATAAAGTTTATTTAAATTAGGGATTTTTTTTTTCACATATAGTATGAACAAGATGTCAATACTTGGACAAGAAAAGCCTACCTAACCCAGCCTACATTAGCCTAACCCAAAATGACAAGGGTTTTTATTAGGCAGGACGAAGCAACGGGTTGCAAAATATAGCTCACTCATCCTTTGGGCTGGCATTGGATATGGATCATGATCTACCCAGCCTCAACCATGAACCCTAGTGGTCAATAGAGCTTTTTGCTATTTTTTATTTGAATTTATAGGTTGCATTATTTGAATTGATTGGTTGAATTATTTGAATTTATTGAAAACTTTAGTTTGGAATTTATATACATATATGTTGATAATGAATTTGTGGGTATATATATGTATAATATAATTTTGAAAACTTATAGATGTTTTATTCTTGATATTATGTTGTAATTTGACTATGAGATTATCTGATGTGATTATCACACAATCTACTTATATAATGTAGAAGAAAGCATCATCTTTTCCCTATGCAATTATATTCACTATGTAATTATTGAATCAAATATGTGATTTTCAAGTTATTAACCATTTTATTTTCTTCTGATATTGTATTCTGCATATAGATAAACATATCTTGCATGGTTAGTGGACTGGTTATTAATTATATAAAGAAACGAGGCTTAAAGATAGTAGAATAGTGAACAGGAAATAATTCAAATAAAATAATATAGATATATATATACATAATTTTTAAAAAAATAAATCAATTCAGTTTTTGAGAACATACAGACATCCATAAATTTAGGAAAAAAAACAGGGAGAGAAAGTATAGGAAAAATATATAAAATGAAATAGCTATACAAAATATTGAAATTAAATTACTTTTTTTTAAAAGAACAAAAAGATATTATTAACATTATCAAGTCCTACTTTGGCCCAAAAAAAAAAACATTATCAAGTCTTACAGAGAAATAAAGGAAACAGAACCAAAATGCAACAAATTAAGTCTTGTTAAAGAACTAGGAATAGGATTGCAAATTTTGAAAGAGAGAAAATTTTAAGGAGGTCTTGAATATCCCATATGATCACATTGATGTGAACTGATTGAAGAGTGGCCAAAGAGATTCATGTCTTGTTCATACACCAAATCTGCAATGCGTCCTTGGTCAAGGATAGCTATGATATATATCTTCGAATCCAAAGAAGAGATGTTCTGAGGCATTAATAAGAGAAAGAGGTACTTGCTGACTTAGTTTTCCTCCAAATGAATTGATGAACTATTGAACCCTCAAAACATGTGATGGCTTGAAAGCCATTGTTGCCTTTCCATCTTTTCAGCTTGAGAAGAATGATAATCAGTCCATCAAAAGAGGTTCAAGGATCTTCTTTTCAGCTTGAGTAATATGCTCAGAGGCGACCTTTGATCGAACATCCTTGAACCTCTTTTCATGGAGAGCAGTAAATGAAAGCATTCCCAAATTTTCCCCGATAACTTTTGAAGGATAAATGATTTGGCCATGATGCAATGCCCAGTTGCAATTTGCCCGAATAACATTGATAACAATAATTATGCCCTGTATAAGAGATGCCTCTTTATCCTTTTGAAGTTGGCTTAAAGTATTTTTTAGCCATACCTTCAAATCCGAGAAGGAAGAGAGATTGAACTGGATTGAGAAACAACCAAGCCATATTGGGCATTGATGTTTGAAAGATATGCCCAATGAATTGTTTGACAGTGAGCATATGTAATGAAAAAAGGGCTAGAGCTCAATCAATGGATTGTGTAAATTAATAATATTAACTTCTGTTTTTATACTATATATTATAAACTGATTTTATGAGCCTATAATTTAATGAAGGAACTTGCATATTTTATGCACATTGGGTTGATGATTTTTTTTTAATTAATGCAAATGATGTTAAGCACAACAAAAAATTATTTTTCTACAATCATTTTGACAAAAAATTCTTTCAAAAAATTTGATATTTAAGATATTTTTATGATCCAAACAATAGCAAACCTACAAACAAGACCAACAATATTGTATATCAAAAAGGTTTTCTATAATAACATGTTTAACTCACAATTCCTAATCATCTTGATGTGTTGAGCTCTCATACCACTTGTATGATCTTTCAATATTGATCGGTCATGACTAATATCAAATAAAAAAATTATATCCGATTTCATATATACATAGCAAACGAACTTTCAAGCTCCCTTTCTTCAAGAGCTGGGAAAACAGGATGCAAGTAGATGTTTAAATGAAAATAGAAATTGTCTACTTCCACGGACACACCTACAGCAAATGGAGGGCCCTACGATCTAGCTGCTTCCACCATGCTCCACATCATGCTCAAGCAACCCCAAGAACCAGATCCAAGACAATTACTTTTGGATTTTTCATTTACCAAGGCAATCAATTACACATTTGTACATTTTCATCAAAAGTTAATATAACGGCCTTACAGCACACATCAATAGCCACCCAGAATCAGCGGCCTCAAACACAACTAAAGCAGAATTTACAGCCGGCTATATATCGTGTCAGGACAAAATAGCTGAAAACCAAATCCTTTCTAATTAGTTAGTCCTAATCTGACAAACAGGCTTGTCTGAACAGAATCATCCCGCATGCTACTAGGGGGGGCCAAATTCGAGATTGTTGCAATGATGTCACATTTGATGAACATAACAGAGTATTTGGCAGATTCATGCCCACTTGACAACTACCATCCTTCTTTTGGCTCCCTGGCTGAGAAGCTAGGCCTGGGTAACCTTGAAGGAATTTCCGGCCGTTGAACCCTATTATGAGGATAAGATATATTGGTTGGAAGTGTGGGTCGAGCATAGTTAGGTAATGAGGTCATTGTAGGAATGCTATTAGGAGCTTGTTTACTCCACACGTCACGTGCAGGAGCAGGGAGACAAGAATTAGGCAAAGATGTCGAGGGTCTATAAGGCTAGAGATGGTGCGGAGTGGCGCATAACCCTGTACCAGCTTGATGGTTTGCCGATTGAGGAATGGAGTTGTTGCAGGGTGGCCTTGGAGGTGCATTGTAAGCAGCCAGTTGAGGGGGCGCCATGGTCTGTAAGCGAGTTGTAGTGGGCAAAGGTGGCACCAACGGTGAAGAGCTAGCCGCAGTAGGCACAGGTGTCACCAAAATCTGTGAGCTTGCTGGAGCAGAGAATGTCTGCATGCTGGATGCAGGAGGTGGCACCATGGTCTGAGAGATAGCAGCAGTGGCGAAATGTTGCGGGTTAGATGCAGGAGGCCCATGAGGTGGACTTGCAGCAAGGGTAGAAGAAGGCCTTGTATCACTTTGCTGTTTAAAACTTGAGTCTGATGATTAAAAAAAATGGTCAGGAAAAATCATAGGAAAATCAGTACTACAAGCATCCATATATATGATGTGTGCGCACATTCCTGGTACTATGGACATGGTTTCAAAAGCAAGCACATTAATGGAGAAATGGAAGAGAAAATTAGGTATTAAGAATAAACCTTAAAAATGATGTAACTGATTTTATTTTGTATTTTATTTTCGTTTTGTCCACCTAAATTTTCATTTTGTAAATGATCTTACTAATTGATCATCTTAGGATTTACCTCGAGTTCTACATGAAGCCTTTAGTGATTAAAGTCAGAGTAACAATTAATAAAGTTCTCTTGGCTTGTTATCGCCTCTTTCCCTCCTCCTTCCTTCCATTTGTCTACATCCCTATTCTTGTTAGCACTTCTATGTCAACTGGCATATCAAGGCGAGGCTAACATTCCAACCATTCCCTATAACACTTAAATCTCACTAAAAACTGAGAACTCATCATAAACTTTGCTGAAATTTAAGAGTTAATGCTGCTCATAAAAGACCACATACATTCAACCTCCAAATCAAGTGAGACCATAGCTGATGCAAAATCGTTTTGGCCCCAAGGCCATGGTACCAAATATAAAATGAACTAAAGTTTCAACATTTCCTAATAAAGTAATATACCTTGCTGAATCTCTGGTACCCCAAATACTTCAAGATCCATGCATTTAGAACTAAAAGCCTCTGCCCATAACTTGTTCATGAGAACTAAGCTTAGACGTGTATCCAGGTTCTTCTTTCTTTGTTGAAACTCAAGCTCATTCTCCTGTAACTTGATATCATACTTCCTGTGAACTTCCTCAATTTCTCTCTCACCATCAGATTTGAGCCGCAATTTCTGCCCAAGTAACAGAAATAGTTACATTAAAAGAAGTGAAGAGGTAAAGATAGAATAACATAGACCATGCATGGCCAAGGCAAAACCGTTTATGCGCAACAGAAACTAACCGTCTCTTTATGGTGTTTCATGGTTTGCTCTGATTCTCCAAGTAATCTGTCCAACTCATTCTTTAATGGATCAGCGACTAGAGCTGAATGCATCCTGTCCATTGATTGGGTTACAATTTGTGTGAGATGATTATTGATCTCTGAAGGAGTTGGGTCTAATAATTGTGTTTTGAATGCAGCAAGGGGTCTACACGAATCAAGTTCAAAAATTGAGGCCGGATGAACAACAGCAGGATTTGTAACCTCCATTAGTGCAGGGTTAACAGGGCCATACAGAGAAGCTTCATTATTTGACCGACAGACTGGCTCAACTTGCTGGGAAGAGTATAGCAACTCTCCGGAAGTGCCCAGGTTAAAAGCAAGAAGCTCTACAGAAGGTAATTGCTGTAGTTGTTATAGAGGCTCCTTGACTGGGTCATGATTAAATTGGCTAGCTAGTAAAGCATCAACCGGACTAGACACTGTCTCAATTTGCTGAGCCTCAGTATCAACTGCCTTCACTGCAAATTAGAATACCAATAAACTCAAGTAAAGGAAAGGAGAAAAAACATATTGCGCTAAATGTTCACTTACCTTGGGGTTCTTCAAAAATGTAATTAATGGCATTGACTGGGGTTTGCTCAAGAGAGACATAGTGGCTCGGTAACACACTAGTGAGGTTTGGTAGAGAGTCACTTTGATAGTTGGAATCAGGAAACTCCTTTCTTTCATTTTCACCCAGAAATTGCCCAATTATTGGATCCACAGGGTGTTGAAATGGATGTGATGGAGGCATAACCATAGCAACTGTAGAAGTTTCAACTGACAATGTGCCTTTTGGAATAGCAGAAAGATTGTTGTTTTCGCTAGCATCATGTCGTTTCTTCCGCCTCCTCTTACCTCTATTCTTCACTTTCTTCTTTTTTGATGCATTTTCAACTAGAGCTTGCCTCATTACAGAATTCAGAGAGTGTTTATCAAGATGAGTTGGCGGCAGAGCCAAAGCACTTGTAGATGTTTCAGTTGAGAAGGCATCTTTTTGAACAGCAGAGAGATTATCATTTCTTTTAGTAGCATCGCGTGCTTTTTTTCTCCTCTTCTTACTTCTTTTCTTTCCAACTCTTACTTCTGCACTTGTCATAATCTTAGATTTCTCCAAGGAATTTTCAAGCACATTCTTCTCTTTTGGTATAGCAGAAAAATTATCATTACTCAGTACAGCAGATAGATTATGATTGCTTTCCGTAGCATCATGTCCTTTCTTTCGCATCTTCTTCCATATCTTCTTCCATCTTTTCTTTCTATGCACGTTCTTCTTTTTTGATGCATTGTCAACCTGAGAGTGCCTCATTACAGAATTCAGAGAGTGTTCATCTGGATGCATTGCAGGCACAGCTAAAGCAGCAGTACAGGTTTCAGTTAAAAAGCATCTTTTGGCACGGCAGAAAGATTATCATTGCTTTCAGTAGCACCATGTCCTTTCTTTGGCCTCCTCTTCCTTTTTCTTTTCTTTCTAAAGCTTACTTCTGCACTTGTCATGATTTGAGGTTTATCTGAGGCATTTTCATGCACATTCTTCTCTTTTGATGCATTTCCAACCTGAGATTGCCTCATTACAGAAGAAAGATTATCACTGCTTACTACTGAACATGTCATGTTGATAGACCCAAATCTGAAATTTACAATATAAAGCTGATCAATATCTTCAAAAAACGGCATGTGAGAAATCATAACACGTATTATGTCATAATTGAAAAGAGAAACAAAACAAAACCCGGACAAATATATATCAAATGATCATTCTTTCATGATGTTTAATGAATAAATTGATCCCCGTTTTGTTTTCCTTCTCGCTAACAGAGAGTGACACCCTTGAAACCCGAAGCTATTAAATTCTTCCCATCAATGCGAGGTGGAAACTAAATTAGTAAGAAAAAGAGAGTTGCAGTGTACATTTCTTGCTTCTTTTTCCTTCTATTAAAAAACTAGAAGATAACGGTGATGATTTTTGATTCCACAAGAGGCATATCATTTTTACCAGCAAGCTAACAGAGTTTAACAAGGCCAGCATAAACAGAGACAGAAAAATACGTACCCGAGAAAATTCATTCAATATTTCCAACGTATTCACTCGAGGAATCAAAGGAAATAAACAGAATGAAAAAAGCATTTGCACATTTGCTCGCTAAGAGAATAAACAGAACGGAAAATGCTTTTGCATATTTGCTCACCCAGAAGTTCTGAAGTCGTTAAGTCATTACCTGCAATAATGGCCGTCGTTGGAGGGGCTGAGACAAGAGTGATGAGAACGAGACGTCGTCGGTGACTCAATGGGGCTCAGACGAGACTCCATGTTATGTGGCTCAAACAAGAGACGGAGAGAGGCGAGAAGCTGAGAGTCGAAAGAGGAAATTCAAGATGCCCCGTTGTTCGTCGAAAGACTAAGAGAGACATGAAGAGTGAGGGTGTCGCTGCGAGGGCAAATGGGAGAGTGCACACAGCCAAGGAGAAAGAAGGGAAGGAAAAGAATAAACTAGGAGGAAGATAGAGATAGAGATAGAGATAGAGATGAGAAGGGAAGAAAGAAACAAATGAAAAGAATAAAAGAGGAGTAACCTGAGGATCCGGCGAGAAGCTCAGAAGTTCAAAGGTGAGCAGCCGACTGAAGGAGCTTGCGCTAGGGCGAGCCGATGCTGACGGTTGGCAAAGGAAAAACAAAACGTAGAAAAATGCAAGATGTTCCATGAGACGTAATATCCAATGGACAAAAGAAGGAGTTCATCTTGGATACGATGAAACATGCACATTGGAAAAAGGCAACCGGGATGCGCCTCGGAAGCTGAAAAGTGTACTAAAAGCGCGGGAACATCATCATAACATACCTTATAAAAATTAAAAAGACCAAAAAAGAATCTAAATAAAAAGTAAAATGTCCAAATAATCATGAGGTATAAATATGGGAAAATTACTGTAGAGTCCCACAGAAGACAATTTACTACCAGAAGGTCCCATGAAATCCCCAAATTCCTATGAGGTCCCAAGGGACCTTATAGCAAAAAATTTGAAACTTGCAATTACTTTCTTACCCTTTTTGATTAGAGAAAGTAACCGAAGCACACTCAAAATCGTTTCGGTTTTCATCTTCGCGAAATCGGCCGCGCGCTCACACTCCGTCGCCCGCTCACACTCCGCCGCCGTGTCGTTGGTGCTTTATCCTTGTGTGCTCCGACAGGTTCAATCTCCGGCGAGGTCTGTTAGTTTCTGGTTGGTACATTGTCGGTCGGTGCTCCGCATTCGGTCACTCTCTGGTCCAACGCCTTCAATCCCCTGCGCGGTCCATCGGTCTCGGGTCTGCACGCCGTCAGTCTGTCGTCCGCAGTCCGTCGGTCTCTCGTCCGCCCGCCGTCGCCGTCTTCTCCGACGCATTGAACGGTTTCAATCTCCAGCACGGTCCGACCGACTCTGGTCAGCACTCCATCCCTCTCTGGTCCGCACTCAGTTGCCGTCTGCTCCGACGCCGTGAACTCTCTGGTACAGTCCGGTGGTCTCTCTACTAACGCCTCAATCTCCAGACAACTAGTCTCTCTCGGTTAGAATATTTGACAATTTGAAGCTTCTTGGTCATATTTTGAAAAATGTTTGGTTTGGAATGTTTGAACATTTGAATTGTTGATTGTTCGTAAAAGCTGCTCGATGACCTGAAGTGGTTTGGAATGTTCGGTTGTTTCGTGTGTTTATATATGGAACCAGTGATAACCGTGACTTGTATTTTCACTGTGATATTAGAAATGTGATGTATGTGGATATTACAATGATCTGACATGCGAATAAAAGTTAGGGGCAAAAGTTGGGGCTGGTTGGTACAAAGTTATATTAGAGATCAGTTTGAAGAACACTGGTTAAAATTGTCAAAAATTTGATTTGGTAGAGCTTTTTAAACGCAGCAATCAGTTATTGTTAATATTGCTGAATTAAAAGGGAGAACTTTATGTAATTGATTTGTTCGGCAATAAAATAATAAAGGTTTTGTTTGGCTTTTTATGGTGGGCTCCATGGTGGAATGTTAATTTGGCCATAAGGTCAGAAAGGGAATTGCTTGTTGGATATAGCACCTATTGGCTCTATACTATAACCAATGAAGGGAAATTCATTCTGGTGGATTGATTTGTGATCCATATTATTTACTGCCGTTCATTGCTTTCTGTCATCCAAAGGGATATATTTTGATTTTGTTGATTAGTGAATAATTTGGTGGTGTTGAAGATACTTACTATTTTAAAATATATGTTGATGATAGTAATTTTTTTTCCTTTTTGCAGTCGAACAAAATGACTAAAAAGAGTAAGAGTAAAGATGGACAAAGGGCTAGGAATTTCTCCGGATACATATTATTCACTGAAGAGTTTTATGAGCAGAACAAGAAGAAGTTTAAGTCTTTTGAAGAGGGCACTAACTCTGTGAAAAAGGCTTGGGGGAACTTAACAGAAGAGGAGAAAGAACAATATGGTGAAAGGGCTAAAGAAATGAGAGTCCCACCAAAAGGGAAGAATTATATTGTTCCCTTTCACACACGCTGTGCTCCGGGACAATTTATGGAAGTCTGCAAGCAATTAAAGAAAAGTAAAGAGAAGATGGAAAGACTGAAAAGAATAGGTTTTGATAAATTGGTTGACATATGCTGCTCACAGATCTATAGAGATTTTTGTGGTGAATTGATCCGTGTGTTTGACCCTGTAAGTAGGCAAATTTCAATTCGAGGGAAGACGCATTTAGTGGGGCCCGAAGATGTAAATGAATTGATGGGTCTACCATTTAAGGGGGAAGATATTAAAATAAATGTGGAGAATGAAGATGAAACGTTCAAGAAATTAAGGAGTGACTACGGGAAAGTGCCATACAAAACAATAGGAACATGGTTGATTGAAGGAAAAGAGGAAGAAAAGTTTGAATTCCTTTTTGTTATGTATGCACTAGGAGTCCTCTTGTGTCCTGGCTCTAGTGTATGGGTGAGTGATAAAGTGTTGAAAGTCATGGTGGTGACAAAGGATAGTTTAGGACACTATGATTGGAGCAGCTTAGTTTTGAAAGAATTCTGCAACTCAATTGCAGAGTTCAAGAAAGGAAAGAAGAAAGGAAAAGCTGATGGGACGAAAAATGTGGGAGGTTGCATGTACTTCCTAATGGTAAGTGTGGGTATGATTCATTTACTTTGATGTTAGTTTATTGTCAATGTGCTGTGTAGGTTGTGATTGGTTGCTCTGTATGTTGTTATTTACTACTCTGTTGTCAATGTGCTGTGTAGGTTGTTATTTACTATGCTGTCAACTGCTTATGTATAGGTTGTGATTTGCTGGTGTCAAGGTTGTTATAGTACTGTGTGCAGGTTGTTAATGGATTGTGTTGGTTTGTCACCTGGTTATGTATAGGTTGTAATTGCCTTCTGTTCGTGTTGTCATTCGGTTTATCGTGGGTTGTCAATGGCTGCTGTGCATGTTGTGAATGACACAACTGTAGGTTGTGATTAGCTGATGTGTAGGTTGTGACTGTATGTTGTGGAGGTTGTTATTTTCCTGTGTTCAGGTTGTCATTAGGATGTGTTGGTTTGTCACCTGGTTATGTATAGGTTGTAATTGCATTCTGTTCGTGTTGTCATTCTGTTGAGTATGGGTTGTCACTGGATGCTGTACATGTTGTGAATGGCGCAAATGTATGTTGTGACAGGGTTATGTGTAGGTTGTGATTGGTCACTGTGTATGTTGTTATTTACTACTCTATGTCGTCAGTTGGAGAAATGTACGCTGTGAACTGGTTATGGATATGTTGTGACTGTGAAGTGTAGAGGTTGTTATTGTCTGTGTGCAGGTTGTCATTAGGATGTGTTGGTTTGTCACCTGGTTATGTATAGGTTGTAATTGCATTCTGTTCGTGTTGTCATTCTGTTGAGTATGGGTTGTCACTGGATGCTGTACATGTTGTGAATGGCGCAAATGTATGTTGTGACAGGGTTATGTGTAGGTTGTGATTGGTCACTGTGTATGTTGTTATTTACTACTCTATGTCGTCAGTTGGAGAAATGTACGCTGTGAACTGGTTATGGATATGTTGTGACTGGAGTGTAGAGGTTGTTATTGTCCTGTGTGCAGGTTGTCATTAGGATGTGTTGGTTTGTCACCTGGTTATGTATAGGTTGTAATTGCATTCTGTTCGTGTTGTCATTCTGTTGAGTATGGGTTGTCACTGGATGCTGTACATGTTGTGAATGGCGCAAATGTATGTTGTGACAGGGTTATGTGTAGGTTGTGATTGGTCACTGTGTATGTTGTTATTTACTACTCTATGTCGTCAGTTGGAGAAATGTACGCTGTGAACTGGTTATGGATATGTTGTGACTGGCTGGTGTAGAGGTTGTTATTGTCCTGTGTGCAGGTTGTCATTAGGATGTGTTGGTTTGTCACCTGGTTATGTATAGGTTGTAATTGCATTCTGTTCGTGTTGTCATTCTGTTGAGTATGGGTTGTCACTGGATGCTGTACATGTTGTGAATGGCGCAAATGTATGTTGTGACAGGGTTATGTGTAGGTTGTGATTGGTCACTGTGTATGTTGTTATTTACTACTCTATGTCGTCAGTTGGAGAAATGTACGCTGTGAACTGGTTATGGATATGTTGTGACTGGCTGGTGTAGAGGTTGTTATTGTGCTGTGTGCAGGTTGTCATTAGGATGTGTTGGTTTGTCACCTGGTTATGTATAGGTTGTAATTGCAGTCTGTTCGTGTTGTCATTCTGTTGAGTATGGGTTGTCACTGGATGCTGTACATGTTGTGCATGGCGTAAATGTATGTTGTGACAGGCTTATGTGTAGGTTGTGATTGGTCACAGTGTATGTTGTTATGGGGCAGTGTGTAGGTTGTGATTGGTCACTGTGTATGTTGTTATTGGGCAGTGTGTAGGTTGTGATTGGTCACTGTGTATGTTGTTATTGGGCAGTGTGTAGGTTGTGATTTTCCGCTGTTTATGTTGTCAGTGGCCTGTTTGGATGATGTTGTTGTATATCTAAGTTATCATTAACTTCACATGCAGATTTATTGCCTACAACACTTTCCTCTCGGAAAAGAAAAGGCGGCAAAAAATGAAAATGCCATTACTTATTGGGATGAGGAAAAAGTGAAGGCAAGAGTGAAATCAGAAAAGAATAGCGACAGAGGCATACTGCATGGCGTTCCGAGTGTCGGTGGGGCTTCAACAAGTGCATCCAACACAGGAATAAAGCTAACTCACCCTGTAAGTAAATCATGTGAAGCTTATTTTGGTGCTGTGTAGAATTTGGAGTAATGATAACTTTCATTACTGTTGTTTTGCAGGAAATCAAGAGAACGTATGAAAGGTTGATGACCATGGTTGAAGGGTTGGTGTCGACAATTGGAGAAGAGTTGGTTTCCCTGCAGTTGAGGTTGACGGATGAGATTGACAAGGAAGATGTGGTGGAAGCAGTAAGTAGCGAAGATGACAAAGAGAAGGCAACTGAAGATGAAGAAACCGGTGAAGAAGGTAAAGGAA